ATCCATATATCTATTTCGTGATAACCTTTCTGGAGACGTATTATCTATAGAAATTGCCATGTGGAGACATATACAATCTTTTGTTCCCTATTGTGCACATGCCTCCACAGGGTACCTTGTACCAGATCATTTTGTTTCAAAGAGATACATGTACAAGACATTTCAGGATTCAAATTCTGAAACAAATCATCTCTGCAGATGCCTGTGTTCAATTTGAACTGATCTTTAAAAGTCATTCATTGTATGTTGTGAAAAGAACAAACAGCACTCACAAAAACCAAGTTGGGTTTTCATATTTAAGCATGTTTCCCCAAGGGTTTTTTGGTAATTATGAAGACTCTCTCTCCAAGACTTGAGTGGTTTTGATGAGGCTGCGTGCATGGATGGTATCTGGGGGATCTGGCTGTCAGTGCATTGCCTCGGGCTGGGATCAAGATTTGTCAGTTGCAGAGGTCTTGGAATTATTCTTTTTCTTGTTTAAAGGTAATATATACAACATTTGCGTTTGGCCGTAATTTTCAGAAATGGATGGATTTGGGGGTTAGTATTTCATAGCAAATATTGTTACACTGATCTGTGTATAAGTTTTGTGTTCACGGATGCTGGAAAAACCAACAAAAAAATGCTGTTCTTGTAGTATGGTTCCCTGTCCCGACTTCAGATGAAACGGAGCAATTTTGGGAATTGTCAGGTCAGGGAATTCCGAACCAGACTAGCTGGCTTGCGCCCAATCACAGATGTCTAACCGATTGCAAACAAAATGTGGACTAACTAAATTTGGTATTAAAAATGGGGGCAGTATTTGAAAAAAGGCACTTTTTTTCCAACGATGGTTGGCCGACCATTGTTGAAAATTGATACAAAAATTCCACTTTTCTTGAAAATGACAGCACACCAGGTGCCATGATTTCACAGGATGTTGGAGACTATTATTCACTTACAGTCAAGTAAGGTATTTCATAATAAATGCAAATGTTGAATAATACCTTTAATACTTCGCTGGTTATTACTTGATTGAGGCACAGAAAACAATATCTGTGTTCCTAAACTATTCACGGTATGACCTTGTAACTTTCAATATATACTGACCCTCAACCCGAGTGGTGCATATTACTCTGACGTCATGATGACGTCATTGGGTGTCAAATTACAAGCAGTTTTCGTTGGAAAAAATGACCAACTTAATTAACTTATAACCCTTGAACAAAGTGATGAATCATGTTCACACTTTGTAATCAAATAGACCATGAAGTGAAAGTATGTAAACTCGCTTGACCTTTTCTTCCGGGTCTACCGGAAGGTCAAAGTTCGGTGAATTTAAAATACAGACAGAAGCCTCAAAATCAAAACAAACCAAATTTCTTCCAAACAACATACGGGATTATGATAAAACCTGGTATGAACTTGGTTGTACTGGAAAGGTTAAATTTTGTGATCCTTTGTTCTGACATAAAAACATTCATGACTTAACTGGGCAGTGTTTAATGAAATTGTTGTCTGCCGGACCACTCTGCGTTTGCAACTTAACAAATGCGAACCTCTAGTTGATGTTTTTATCATTGTTTTGTTTTGTCCGCAAGGCCCCCCTTTTAATGTCACGGCCACGCCCTAAAAAGGGTTGAAAACCAGTTTTCCATCAACTCTTTTTTCTTTCTCTAAATAAATGTAACATATTCATTAGATGAATTTGCGTCGGGGTGATGTAAACCAATATTAGGTTTTGCCCTTCACCGACGTATAAATATTGTATACTCAGTACGTACATAATACCTCCTGAGTGAAAGTTGGAAAAAAATCACTCGGGTGGGACTCGAACCCATGACCTCCTGCCTTTTTTCTCTCCAACTGAGTACACAGTGTTTACACGTCGGTGAAGGGCAAAACCTAATATTGAACTGCATCATACTCCAACAGAGGTTTTTTTTTCAAATTACAAATTTTGCATAAATTTGCAACTCTTTAATGCAATTTGTGTATTTAACTAATTTTCCACCCTGAAATATCAACGAATGAAATTAAAATGTAGTTGAAAAAAAATATGGATGTCTGATCAAATTCAGGAAAGCATTTCCGTATCAATTTACACAAACTTGAAACTGTCAAGCTTTGGGGCTCATACCGTGAGCCAAAAAAAATATTTGAAAGATATCTGATCAGATATTCGTTACGAAATACCCAAGTCTGATCAAAATCAGATTACAGTAAGTGAGACGCAGCGCTAATGAGCTTTGGAATTATATGCGCACGCGAAGGACACAAAACATATTTTGAAAACATGGGGCCTATACATGAAAGGTGCATTTTTAAAAAAACATTTGTCACTAATTGTGGTACACACAACACCGTCCTCCTCCTAATGTTATTGCACAAACGAGTCTGATAGCAGCAATTAAGTTTGCAGTGCGGAAGATAATTTGCACAAATTTGTCTGGAACCACCAAGTCGGATTCGGATGCTAAACGGGCTGTAATTCAGTTAACGGCCTAATAAAGAGAATGGTTAGGATTGGTGAATGGATAGATAGACGTGGTGACAAGTGGGGTGCACTTGTGTTATGTTGGCACAAAAGTATGAATTCTATGGGCAACCAGCCTATAGATCCTTTGCATTAGAGACATCTTTGAAGGTGCAACCTTTTCTTTCCTAGTGTTTGCATGGGGGCAATTCCACGGTTACTCACGTTATATTTTTGATGTACTTTTGAGTTTCCTTGGGCTGTAATTACCTTACTGAAAAGGTTTAATAACTGTTATCCCCATGGTAGATAGAGTAGACCTAGACCTACCTAAGCACCAAAGATGACATCCAGACAAATGTATTATGTATGACTAACAAGATGCATAAAATCGGTTACTCACGTTACGAAAATGTAACGTGAGTGCATCTTGTTTATCATACCTAACACATTTTTCTGGATGTCATCTTTGGTGCTTAGGTAGGTCTAGGTCTACTCTATCTACCATGGGGATAACAGTTATTAAACCTTTTCAGTAAGGTAATTACAGCCCAAGGAATCTCAAAAGTACATAAAAAATGTAACGTGAGTAACCGTGGAATTGTCCATGGGTACATCTCTTATTATCTCTGCCACGGATGTTATGTTTTCACCGGTGTTGGTTTGTGTGTTGGTTGGTTGGTTGGTTAGTTTGTCTGTGAACAGGATAACAAAGGATTTTTTTGATTTTTTTGATAGGATTTTTCACCCGTCTAGGAAAATCTTTCACTAGATCGCTTTGTGTGAACAGCTCCATGTGTGTGGCACTGACCCGGTGACCCTGTATGCCTTATCACCCACCTAATCTAACCACACCGGTCAATGGACTAGACCATTTTATACAATGGGGGTGGAAAGGTAGATAGGCCATCAGCCTGGGGGTTTGGTCAGTGTCAAATCAGGGCATAAATGATTATAGTGCACATGCGAAAGGTGTACCGCCCCTAGAGTGGTAACAAGCATTTTCATGGACATTTTGAAAAAAAGGGTGATAACACCCAAAAAGCTGCCACCGCTGCAATGCTATCACATATTTTCCAACTCTGGAGGAGTATACCTTGCCAAAAATCGCTATGACGATTATTCCCCTCATTTAATAACGGTGGCCAAAATTTTGGACCGAGGCTGATGGCCTAAGACCAAAACAGGCATGTTGATGAAAGTCAAGAAAAAGTTGAAGTGTGCCACATTATTGGACTTCAAGTGTACATGCAAATCTTAGTCCGGGTTGTCCCACAAAAAACCTAACAGTCGAATCAGGCATGTTTTCAGAAAAGTGGGGGTAGTATTCAAAATCATGTCTAATGTATTGCTGAGTAGAATAAGGGTTTTCCAAATGCTTTTTAGTTGGTTTCATTAGGATGTTTTGTTCAAAAGATACAGCAATCACAATACAGGACTTGAAAAAAAACAATTGTGCCACTTTCTTTATTGATCAAATTTACAGATCGAAGCCGGTAGAATAAGTCACACGTTACTCTTGAACAACGGAAATAAATCCTTTGTGTGTTTCGCTAACTGCGCTTTCTCACTTTCAAGAAAAGTGGCCCAAGACGATTTTTGATCCTTGAGTTTGATGAAGCATAGCGTTTGTTCCAATGCAGGGATTTGAATGAAATAAAATTTGTATGGTAGATTGGTTATCTGACATTAAGAGGTAATTTGAAAATATTCCAAAACTCACATGCAATATACAGGGTGAGTCAAAAAAAGCGGAACCCAAACCCCATAAAATATTTTTCATATTTAAAAAAATATGTAGCACCAAGCCAATTGTATAAGCTACTTTTAGATGAAAAAAATTACTGAAATCGATCAATCCGTTCAAAGAATATCACAATTTAAACACAATAACCTCTTTCCCAAAACCTCTTTCGTCCAAAAAATGTGATTTTAAGAATCGTCGTCACAATTGTCTTCAAATATCACCAGCTATAAAACATACCTCAGTTTAAAAGCTAAAAATATTCAACAAAGTCCGCTTGAAGGCCCGTCTTTTCAAAAAAGTGGATTATATAAATCATATTGTTGCCTAACCAGGGTTGTTAATAAAGATATTGTGTACTACAGTTGTTGACAGTGGTTGAAACAAGTATTCTGTGTCATTTTCTTTGTTGTTCCAAACAGTACGCATACACAATAATTTAAATTTTTTTTTTGACGAAACAGGTTTTAGGGTCATTACTTTTAAATGGTGATATTCTTTGAATGGATTGAGAAATTAGAGTGTTTTTTTTTTCATCTGGAAAGTAGTTTTCATCTGAAAGTAGCTGACAGTAGCTTGGGGTTTGGGTTCCGCTTTTTTGACTCATCCTGTACCTTTATATTAATTAGTTTACGACTGTTAGATTTTTTGTGTGGGACAACCTGTATATAAGGTTATCCCTGTACAGAATCTAGAGCTGTGTCCTAGCTACTACAGTTACCCGGGATACTGCCGTAATGAATCAAGACATTTTGTGAGATAGCATCAGGGAAAATGGAACGGATCATGTACATGTCTTACTTGATCCACTCCTCGGGCACTTTCATGGGATGAGCCATCATGTTAGACTCCTGCTGCATGGCCCACAGGATGGAGAACATGGCTAGGGTGGCGATACCGCAGTCGCTTATGATCCCTGAACAATATTCAATTAAAGGGAAAATACAACATTTGCAAACATCCAAAAATAAAACTACCAAATCATTTGGAAATACCTTGCTGGACTGTTAGTGAATGACAGTGTAAAGCATCCTGTAAAATCATGGCACCTGGTATACTGTCATTTTCAAGAAAAGTGGTATTTTTGTATCAATTTCCAACGCTGGTCGGCCGACCAGCGTTGGAAAAACTGGCTTTTTTTTCAAATACTGGCCCCAATTGACCATCGCACTTGTTTGCAATTGATTACACACCTATGAATGGGTACAAGCCAGCTTGACTGGTTCCCTGACCTTACAATTCCCCAATGTATGTAAACTGCTCTGTTTCTTCTTATATGGAGTCAGGGAACCAGACTACAGGAAAATGATTGTTTTTCTTGGTTTTTATAGCATTTTCGAACCCAAAACCTCAAAAAAGTCAGTGTAACTGTATTTGCTATATATTTCCAACCCCCCAATTCCATCCATTTCTGAAAATTACAGCAAAAGCAAATGATGTATATTCCCTTTAAAGGTAGAGTAGATCATTTGCAGCCGTCCAAAACGTGACTGACAAAATAATCGTTGAAGAGCTTACTTGGTTTAAAGATAGTAATGGCACTAAACTCCCTGTGAAATTATTCTTTCCGGCATGCTGTCATTTTGAAGAAAACAATATAAGAAGGTAATTTCCAAAGATGTGTCAAGTGACACATTTTTGGAAATTTCCATTCGTTTTAAAATAGAGTAGATCACTTGCAGAGCAGTAACTGACGAAATTACTTTTGAAAAGCTTACTTGGTTTAAAGATAGTAATGACACTAAACTCCCTGTGAAATTATTCTTTCCGGCATGCTATCATTTTGAAGAAAACAATATAAGAAGGTAATTTCCAAAGTTGTGTCAAGTGACACATTTTTGGAAATTTCCATTTGCTTTGGAATAGAGTAGATCATTTGCAGAGCAGTAACCGACGAAATTACTTTTGAAAAGCTTACTTGGTTTAAAGATAGTAATGACACTAAACTCCCTGTGAAATTATTCTTTCCGGCATGCTGTCATTTTGAAGAAAACAATATAAGAAGGTAATTTCCAAAGATGTGTCAAGTGACACATTTTTGGAAATTTCCATTTGCTTTGAAATAGAGTAGATCATTTGCAGAGCAGTAACTGACGAAATTGCTTTTGAAAAGCTTACTTGGTTTAAAGATAGCAATGACACTAAACTCCCTGTGAAATTATTCTTTCCGGCATGCTGTCATTTTGAAGAAAACAATAAAAGAAGGCCATTTCTAAAGATGCGTCAATTGACGCATTTGTATGCTATTCGTCAGTTTGTCAGATCGTGTATACAGCGCGCGCGAGATCCGACAAACTGACGAATAGCATACAAACAGTGTGAAGAACAACCGGCTATTTAGATTTTGTAATATGACAAACTGACGAATACATTAACGATCAAATAAAACATATCGCACAACTCCATGTAGTTTGTTTAACTTTTAGGGAAAATATCATGCATTCTACATGTAGCGTGCAATATTATTTTGATCATAATAGATATGTGCAAAAATGAATTGAGTCTTGAAAGGTCACTGTTTATGTGACATTTTTGACCACAGTAGCACATCATTCCTTGGTACTTTGAACGCACCCCTTACATTAGCTGGTTACCAGCGAAATTCCGTATTTGTCACTATATCAAATTATGGATTGTTATTATGACTGATTCGCCACAGGCTCTGAATCTCAAAATCGAGATAAGAATTAAGAATTTTGGCATAAATACTTGAAAGAGCAACCTTTAAAAATCACAAAAATGACAAAATCTCAAAATCGCCAAAATCTTCGATTCGCCGGTTTGTCAACTCTGCGACGAATTTGCTTGTTGTCACTTTGTCCCTATCCGGTTCGTTAGTGTGACGTCACCTCCAGCACTTTCTGCATGATTGGAACCGGAAGTTAACGCAGCTCGAGCGTTTGTAGCCAATGGGCGCTAGTAATCAGTGGTGCGCGCGCGTGTATGACGTTTTCACTAACGAACCGGATAATGCAACACTCTCCAATAATACTAAGCACACAAACTCACGATTTTGTTTGTGACGATTCTTAGATTAATCAGAAATAGATCCTTTGGTCTGGGAACCAGACTAGGGAGTCCATTGGGAGAGACATTCGAACGCACGGCCGATGTCGAATGCTCATGCAAAGATGCTCGGCTTTGAGGGTATTTTAGAATAAAATTAGTAGTGCATACTTCACGGTATACGCAAGTGAACAAGTGCGTACGTGTTCTACATAAACCCCGAGGACCGACACACAAAGGGAGAACAACAGATCCTTTCAGTCCTCGGGAGTTGGGTCTTTTGTTAAAAACGGTCCTCTGTAGTAAGTTTGTGTGCTTAGTCTAGGGGAGAGTGTTATATTACAGGGACAATGGGAAACACAAAGCATTGTCCTCGGCAGTATAGTAAAACAAGAGTGCGTGCACATGCGGTGTGTCCCGTCAACGGGGCTCTCAAAAATGGTAAAATAGCGCCCTCTTTTGTTCACGCACGGAGCTCATGATGTTCACTAGCTAACATTTCTAGTCCAATATTTTGTACAACGGCATGAAAAAGTTTACTGCCGTTGCATCTATTGAGGGCAGCAGATCAAACAAATGGAAGCATGAAACTGAACATACAGGGATAAAAAAGAGGGAAATTCACCTTCATCTTTCATTAATGTTAACAGCAGCAACACAACGGAGACAACTATAAGAGCAGCAAGTATCCTGAAAGAAAGAAGACAAGAGAATACAGTTAAACTGGAAGCTTTAAGACATCATTGCACTAGTGTTATTAGGACAAGACAAATTTCAACCAATACAGTGTCATTGCGGTTTTCTTTCCATCTGAATTCGACTTTTATTTCTATTCAATTATAGCGCAAAAACAGAAGTCAAAGTATAACCAGGGGTGTGAAGTGACCACAGATAAAAATAGCTGAAAACAGCTGAACAAAAATGTAAAAAAGCTGAACTTTGGAAATCTCCTATACTTTTGTACACAGTAAGTGAGGGGGAAAAAAGCTGAAATCCATAACAAAAAAAGCTGAAATCAGCTTTAAAGCTGAGATTTTACACCCCTGATAACATTAGAGTGAAATTTACAAATAAAGTAGCAGAAAATAAGGAAAAAAATCACAACTAATTAATAGCCATAGTACATGCAAACTTAGGCTTGTTAATGGCTTGAACTTTTGGGATTGGGCTTCTTTAATAGGGTACCCATGTTTTCAACCAGGTACCCGGTTCCCGTAATAATAACAATTTGGGAGGCTAATCATCCTTACTCGCAACTGAGAAGCTGAATTGCAAAGGACGCGGCTACAACATGGTCGAGCTGCTGGCATGTAAAGTGTCTTAGGCAACCAGCCACATCGACCCATATATGACCACGGAGCACAGCCTGAGATCCAAAGTGTTTGATTTTTCCGGAAGGAGGAAAACCGGAGGGCCCGGAGATAAACCCTCGTGGCACAGGAGAGAACCAACGCACAACTCTACTCACATATGGTCCAAGCCTGGAATCGAACCAGGGCCACAGTGGTGAGAGGCGAGTGCCTTACGCACTCAGCCACCCATGCCCCCCGTAAATGCACACTTAAAAAATTGAGGGATATCATTTCCCAAAATGCCAATGGGCGTCAGGTCTACTTTTAAGGGTTATCATCTTCGAGAGAAAAATGATGTCCAAAACACAGTTATCCCAAAAGTGAAACAGACAGCGAACAAACTTAAACTTTGTGGGTTATTTTTTTTCCAAACAAAAAAGAAATGAAAAAAAGGGTACAAATTAACAACTCCCCCACAAAACAGGAAAGTGAAAAGGGTTAATCATGTTTTTCTTTGATGTATGTCTTGAACCCTTTGGAGACTTGTATTGTTCCCTTCTTGAGAAGTGGGGGGGGGGGAGGTGTTATTGGTGCCTATAGGAATAAACAGTGTTTGCAGCTTATTCTAACTTGGAATAGGCTGTTCCGAAGAAGCATGGGCAAGCATTCCAACTTGGGACCACCTGGTGTTCAAAGGCCATTGATCAGCCTAAACAATACAAGTTCTCCAACAAGAACGAACCTTTCAAGTGCCAGTGGGCAGATTCACAGTTGTGTCCGCATTATTGCAATAGCACCCCCAATTTAGGCTATTCACAATGCAGTGTGCCACCATTTTTCAAGTCTATGGCCCATTTGAATGAGTGTCAGTAGACAACTTTAGGCCCCCAAAAAAGTCCCCGGTTTCTGGTATGGAGCTTGCCCAAAAAGTGGTGCGGCAACGCAGTTTTTTTTTCTTTGAACCGTTTTTTTTTCTTCAAATGTCGGCTGATGACTGCAAATGGTGCCCGACTAAACTTAGTGCAAATATATGGGAGTCCAGAGAGGCCACATAAAGCTTATTCTCGATCGTAACCCCATCTAAAAACACGTTAAAATTGTGCAGCAGCAGGATTCCAGTCAAACCAGTGAGTTTGGCGGTTTTGAGGCATCATCTTTCATTGAATAATAAACGTTTTCATTTTGCCGATCAGAAACCGGAGACTTTTTCTTTTGGGCCTTAGCTAATTTGTTATAGATTGGGGCATAGCATTCTGCCGCCTTAATACAAAAAACACCATATCGATAAAAAGAAAAGAAAAGGGCAAACAAATACTCGAATCATACGCTTACAAAACAACTGACCGAACAATTGCTGAAACGAACAATTTCAAATGTCCCACGCTACGAATTGGTTGACCATCTCCCACAATGCACTGGGAAAAATGAACTCCGTGGCAAACTCTTGGTGGCGCACTGCATTGTGAATTGCCCAAATTGTCAGGGATGGGAGGAAAATGCTAGTTAAAAATAAGTTGCTGGTCTCATGAACAGATGTCTCAGTTTAGTACTTACCACCTGACTGCTGGCGATCCCGAAGATAAAAGAACATAGCCCATGACCACAGAAAGTGTGTAGGAGATTCCAGCTGCACCAAGTATCAAAGACTTTTGGACGAAGAAGATAAATAGAAATTAAGCAAACAAACAAACAGATTGCTACGGGCTCCGTGCACAAGCACACTACCAACGGCCAGAAAATGAGAGTTGGGGGTGGCCTAGACTGGTTCCCGATCCATCCACCGCGTATTTAGAATGTATCCAAAGTTATTGGAGGCGGGGATTAGTATCGGAGACAATTGCAAGTTGAATTCAAACGTATTCGTGCGCCAACGACGCCTGACACTCATGCGAAGACGCGGAGGCTATGGCTTTTGCACATGCAGGAAGTCGCGCGTACTTTGCGAAGAAACCAGTACAGAACGCGCACGCTGTGTGTCCTGTCCACGGAGCTCTCAAAAGAGGTAAAAATGCGCCCTCTTTTGTTGGCACACTGAGCCCATATACACATGTTTATGCTCTACAAGAATAACAATTTTTTGAAAAAAATGACTGAGGGTAGGGTGCTATCATTTCAAATGTAATGTCCTTGTGTTCTTGGGCAAGATGCTTTACCACACTTGCTTCTCCCAACCTGTATAAGAGTTGAGTGCACGGCTGTCTGTCATCATTGGATGGTGACCACTTTAACTCTCTTAACCAGTTTGCGTCGGAGGATGTCGTAACACGCACTGGAGTATTACAACATATGTTCTAAACGCCGTGCCATTGCCGTGCCAAACTCAATTCAATTCAAAGTTAGGGCAAACATATGTGATGCGATCAAGCTACATGAGTCGTTTGTCGACCCTGGTCAAATTTTTTTTCTTACAGATTTGAAAAGAGCAGAATATCAGCATTACTGCTGTGAAAACTGCATGCTGGTACCATCTTCAGTTCAAAAGTTATGGAAGTTGGAACACCAAGAGATGTGATGAAGTGATGTGATGAAGTGGCCCTATTTTGTCCTGTATCTCCAAATAAAAATTCCAAACAAACGACTCACTAAGCTTGTTCGCATCACATATTAAGAATACACATGCTCACAATACCCTCTCTTGCGTCCACATCACGGGAGTGAAATTGGCGCGAATATCTTGATCGCGCTGAAAGTTGATTTAATTGTTTTAACATGGCCAGTTACTCCAGATGCATTAAGGTTCGAATAGTAAGCTCGGCGTTTAGTAGGGCTGTGCATTGGAACCGGGTACCCGAGTACCCGACCGTCAATGTCGGGAACCGGTTCCTGATTATGGAATCGAGTACCCGTAACCATCTTTAGAAATTACTCAGTAAGTTCTCAGAGAATGAAAAAGAACAGCTTTGAATGTCATTGATAGAGAAATTTCAAATTGAAAAACAGACTACGTGGAAAACAAAACCAATTCCACATTTACGATGCTCGTGATAGTTGCAGTTTTTACCATAAAGCTAAAGAGCTCACTGTATACATTTGTAACTTGCGTACTGGCGCACCGATATGGGGTAGTATTAGCATGCAGACCTTTATGAACAATCTGAACAGCAACTTCTGAGATTGACATTTTTGGGGTAGGTTTCTTTAATTGATACCCGGGTACCCGTATTTTTTGTCAATAGGGTACCGGTTCCTGTACTACCCGTAAATGCACACCCCTAGCGTTTAGAGCAACTGCCGTGCTGTACAAGAGCTATTGCCGCACTCATTTCAATTAAGTTCGGCAGAGCAGTAGCACGGGATCCAATGAAAGCACTATTTGGGCATTTTCACACTAATGGGCCAATTAGATAAGTTTATGGAGGTTGCATATAAAGGGTAAAAGATGAGCTAGTATTTTCTTGTTTTTTTCTTATACCTTGCTAAGTTGAAAGTGACTAGGACAAGACAAGACAAAAGATGATACCTTGTTTTGTTTGAGAAATAACAGGCATCTTTTCTGTGTGATACGTATGTAATGTTGACAGACACACTGCTACGAAAAGGGTGGTTAAGACAAATTCAGTTTCTAATAGGCACTTCCAGTGACATTATTAAGCCATTTTACATTGTTATCCAGTAAAAATATAAGTTTTCACACTGGCTTCAAATTTATGATGTGATTAGGGTGACGTACGAACAGGGACAGACATTTTTTCGACAAATGTCCAGTCTGTTCGTACGTATAAATCCTGATCATAAAATAACAAATAATTCTGCACACCGACTCTGAGTTTTCTAGGTTTTGACTAATAAGCATTCCTCCAGGGTACATCTTCTTACATAAGTCAACATTAGGGGATCATTAAACTTTATGCTTACTTTGTGACTTTATCTACAATGTCTGTCCTTCGTTACGTACGTTACACTTTTTAAAACAATATCCACTATATTTTCTAAAATACAAAACCAGTTATATCATTTGCAGATGAGGACATTTGTCCGAAGCTTGCAATGTTTACAGCAAAACTTGAGAGACCAAGATCGCAGTTTTATCTTCAAAACTTAAAGGTCTTCTCAAATGTCACACTTTTGGGCCCATTAATGTGGAATTGCCCATAATTTACCTTCATGAGTAGTGGCTGTTCCTCAATCTGCTCAGCCACCCTACTGCTGGTCCTGACGGACACCCGGACCAACTCCACTGCCTCGATGGTCAGAAAGACCGGCTCTGACAACCAGATGAGCTTGTCATAGACCCACAGGAACAGGTAGGGCACGACGGTGATGGGTAGGGCTAGGAGGACGCAAAACAGCCCTGTTTGGAAGAACGGGATGATTGACACCTGTATGCAAATGAAAAACACATTACGATTAAAAATTAACCCTCACCGCCCTGAATCTTTCAAATCCTCTTTGCCAAAGTGAAGGAATTTGGAGGATTGCAGTTACATGGCAAAAGTGTGTTACTGGTTTTGTAGGATGCACTTTGTCAAGGTCTGGTGTTGTTTTTGCTCAGCCATGCATAAATATAGGCCTGCAGTTATGCTTGAAAATTGAAATCCTCCATACTGCTCCAGGATGTCACTGGCCAAGCCCCAATTATTATTGGGGGGGGGGGGGGGAGGCGGGGGGGGGGGGGGGGGGGAGATAGGCCCATAACAATACAATGTGTTGATTTTAGTGCTGGCATGAACCGGGACACAGGGGGAAAAAATCGGATAAATAAACTACAGTCAATCATCTCAATGTAAAACTTAAAGGGAAAGCAAAAACGACAAAAACCTAACAGCCCCCCAAAAGCTATAAAACTTAAGTCCTAACACCTCCCCCCCCCCCCCAACACAAAATATTAAAGTTAAAACAAAAGCAATATTGAATGAATAGAGCTTTGTTGGTCAATCTTGTGGGAATGTCAATTAGTAATGCCCGGGTGTAGTTAACAAAATCTGTGGACCAATAACCAGATGGCGCAACTTTTTTTTTTATTATCAGAAATTTATTACCAATTATTAAAGTTTATTAATATTAGGCAGTGTATATTTTGCCGGAGACGGCAAACCTTCAGTAAAAGTTAGTTTGCCGGATATGCACTGAACATGTGCAGTTACTGTTTTTTTGTACCTCGTATTCACAAGATGGGATTCAGACCATTTTATAATTTCGGACTTTATTTCCCTTTTAAAAAAAATCCTCCAGAGCCACAAATCTGAAAAAGAAAATGTAATACTCTGCAAAAAATGTTTGAGACATGTTAAAATAATAAAAGAAGAATATTCTTATTTATTTGGGGATGAGAAAAAAAACCTTAAATGCGGTGCGGTCGGAATCGAACGCGAGTCATCCCGCTTACTAGAGCCTTAGCTTAACCACTACACCAAACGTGCTACACAACGTTTGGTGGGAATTTAATACATCTTATAATTCAGCCCTATTTTAAAGAGTACAGCGCCCTCTGTTGATATGGATTGCCGCCGGCAAACCTTTAGTAATCGTTAGTTTGCCGTCATTACCTCCGGCAAAATATCCACTATCTTAATATTATGCCTAATAATGGTTTACAAAGTCAATGGTTTATAAAGTTATAAACCAAGATATTGATACTCCAATTTAATGATAGTTTTGTCAGTGGTGAACCGTTCAACATTAAACCTTACTTTCCACATTATTTCTGGAAATCCTTCCTTATATAATATAATAACATGGCCATGGACAACTTTCCAAACTCACCAACACACTCGGTAATGCAGCCCCAATCAGCGTGTGCAGCATCATCAACAGGGACAAACGAAGCACAACCTCTGGCCCGCAAAATGAGCCAAAAACAGGCATCGTTATCAGCCAAACTAATGGCACGATGGACAAACATTCCCTGGGGATGCACATAGTGACTTCTAATTATTTATTAGCTGCGAAGAAAAGTGGCTGTCAATGCTTGAGAGTAAAACAAACTTGTCTTTTAGAGAAATTTATCATCGTCAAAACACAGTGGCAGACGACATGTTCGAATTTCGCTGCACACAGATTAGTCTGTTCCCTATACACGTCAGTATTCATTTTTCATGGTGATGGGGTTAGGAGCTACACCAAAAAGCTAGGAAGTTTTCTTCCCAGCATGCAATAAAACATCAAAATGGCGACACTTCCGGTTATTGCGCCGCATTTCGACATTTTTTTAGCGCATAAAAACTGTAGAATTTCTTGAGTTTAGAACATTTCCAATGACTTTTCAATTTCCGAACCTGATAATAAGCATGGAAGTTATTAACTGGCAAAATGTTAAAAGCATTGAGACGTCTTGTGTGGAGAAAACGTTCTCGAAAGCAATCGAAATTTGGCTGTTAAAACCACACGTTGTGAACCGGAGACTTTCTGGTGCAGTCGTGCTGTACAGAACGCGCACGAATGATGGACTTACGCTAGGGAAACTCATTCAAAAGTTTTCTACCACAAGTTGTGAATTAAGTGACAGTTTCTCTGCCCAGTATATTGAAACACTGACGAAAGACAACGCTGGTTTATCCTGTGATGAAAATGGCCTTAAAAATAGCATCCCAAAATACTCTGAAAATGAACAAGAACATGAAGAACGGAACTCGAGTTGTGACGGTCCTGAAAGTTCTCCACATTTGACGGATGAGAATTCACGATTTGAGTTGTGTGTTCGGAAACTTGTACCACGAAGCACAGGACATCGAAATGGAAGTGCAGAAGAAACAGTGAATGAAATAATCGTCATTGGTAAATCACAACTTCATTTAAAAGTTTTTTTAATTAATAAACTTATTTTATAGGCCTGTAGGTGGGTAGACACTAATTAAATTAAAGTTAAAACTAACAAGTAACATTACTGACCGGTAAAGGGAAAATGTAAGATTAAAAGAATGTGTTATAATCATAATAAAGACAAGAGTAACGTTTTCTTTTTTTCACAAGATGAGTGGTGATACAATGGTTACGGTGTTCGACTCATGTGCCGTGGTACGTGGGTTCGAATCCTGGCAGGGAACATGGTGCTTGAGTCCATGGGCCACATTACTGTCTTTACCACAATCGCCTCTCTCCACCTACCTAGTCCAAGCATGGAGAAATAAAACACATGGTCCAAGTAACTAGGATTCTACGAATCGCCTTGTTTAACATTTGGATGGACACGGTCGCCCGACCATGTCCAAATGTTAAAAAAAGACAATTCGTAGAGTCCCAGTTACTTGGACTACTCTCCACCCAGGAGTCCTAGAAGGTAGAGACCAAAAGGTGCTGATCTCGAGCTGCTTCAAAAACTGGTCTTTTGTCAATGTTGCCTGATGAACAGGGACAAAAGTGCAATAATTGTGAAGCACTTTGAGACCTGCTTTGGTATATGCGCCACATTATTGTTATTCATACATTATAAATCCAGAGAAGATTCATTTATAAATCCACAGTAAGTATGGTTAATGCATTGTATTATTACATGTATGACGTTTATATTTCTTTAGATCATGAAGAATGTTCAGCCACATTTATTCCTCTTCAAAATGCCTCTGAAGCATCGAGCGACAGCAGAAACCTGATGCAGACAGCGTACAGATTTACTTTCTCTTTGAAGACCTCAAGGTATATCATATACAAAGAAAGTACTTGTGAATGAAAACTACCACTGGGCGAGTAACTCCATTACTCGGAGTATTCCTGAGTAGTTTATGCTACTCGTTGTTCTACTCATGGTTTTTCATCTACTCGAGTACTCGTCCTGGCGCGAGTAGAAGCAGCTACTCGCGAGTAGCAATTTAGGGTTTAGGGTTCATGGCTAAATACGTCCCCAACAAACAGGGAATCACTCCCTCCACCTCTCTCTCCCTAGGATTCCATTCGTCAAAAAAAATTCAAGTAAATGATTCAAACCGTCACACATTAAGTACTGAAGAATGTGGTGTGACTTGCATGCTATTTGCTTGTAGTTACTTCCTGCATATATGTATATCACTTTTCTGCATTTATTGGAATTCAGTGAACTACTAGTGAGTACTTGACTACTCGTGAGTAATTTCTTTGCGAGTACTCGAGTAGAAAAATCCACTGCTCGCCCAGGCCTAATGAAAGCCATTTGATATCAAGTGAAAATAGAAGTTGTTGCATTGACAACAACTTAAACTGTCTGGCAAGTACGTGTAGTTTTGTCCCATTTCTTTGATTGGTCTTTTGTTGTTTTCTCTTTTTTTCACAAAGAATATATTCAATAGCCACTTGTGTTTCATGCCAAAATTGAAAATGGCAGGGTTTTTTGCCTTGAGCAATTCAGAAGTATTGCTGTGTAAACTGTGGATATGCTCAAATCAGATGAGCACAATTAATAATGAAAGAAAATGCTAACAACAAATACAAGTGAAATTAATGGATTTCAAAACACCGACCCAAATTATATTCATTTTGATATTATTTCTCAGAAATTCAAGAAGTGAAAAATTGAAATTAAAAAACTCCCTATAACTGTGGACCATTTTTTTCTTTTCATAGATTCATTTCCTTTATTTAATGTCATCACTTATTTTCTTCGCAAAACTTAATTTGTTTTATGCCCTTTTCATTCTTCTGTATTTTCAGGATAAACCTCACTATTTCGGAGGACTACAAAGAACCAAAGTCCCCCTCCCTAGCAGTGGCATGCCCGACGATAGCCTGGCTACAAGACTGCTTGCTGCCCAAGATAGCCAAATGGGCATCGGAAGTCAGCCCCGATGCGCCAGTCAGGAACTCCCAGGCTCTCGTGTCTATGGAGCGCTACAGCGCCCTCTACGGCGAACTGAAGAAAAAATACGGGGCAAAGTTTGTCGAGGTGTGATAAAATAACACACTGACTATAAGCCTTTTCGGAGTTCCAACTTCGCATTCGTAACCTGTGACAACGCGCATTGTTTGTCTCAAATGGCCTTTGACATCATCGCGCCACTGACTTTACAAAAAAGGCTGTTTGTGCATTGTGGGTACTGTCAAAGGGCATTTGAGACAAACAATGTGCGTTGTCACAGGTTACGAATGCGCGCAGTTGGAACTATGAAAAGGCTTATTCCACAGACCAGAACTGTAGTTGAGTCCATGACAAGTCATTTCACAAGTGCACGAACAGTTGCAGAGAAATGCCTTTGTCTTGAAGTCTTTCACATTATTCAAATCTCAGGGGTTGACGCGGGGTTGACACAGGGTTGAAAACATGTGGCGTTTCACACTTGAAATTGTTCAATCCTGACCCTACCCTGCGTCAACCCTGAGATTGATTTCGCCCAGGGTTGTACTCAACCCTGCTCCAGACCAGGGTTGAGATACATGTTCAAACCGGGTTGAAACTCTCGCCAGGGTTCAAAGCAGAGGAAATAAGCTCAGTTTGCATGAAACAAGTGTGCAACGATGTGGGGTTAAACGCGGGGTTGACAAATAAAAAACTCAACCCGGGTGGCACTGGGTTCACCCAGGGTTGAGTTCAACCTTGGTTGGCTCTACTGTGAAAAGACCTATAATAGGGTGCATTTGTTTCGGTACGGATTCGAATTCAGAATCAAAAGCTGGATTCTTGGTACCAGTACCATGCTAGAACAAAGAAACTGCACCTGATCTGGATCTCAAGTCACGTCACTAGCCAAAAATACGCATTAGCCATGAAATACGCACTAGCCATGAAATACACATTAGGTGTTTATCAGTCCGATCCCTCAGAAGTCCATCGTAAGGCGTTCACATATAATCACGAGTCAATTCACAAGACCAGTCACAACTAACAGATGGTGACTTGACTTGAGACAAAACAGAAAACTTTTAACATCTAATTTTCAAAACAAGATACAAACCGGAAGCATGTTTATACAAATTCATAACAGACTTTTTGTCTGGTTTTTTTTTTAGATTTGGCCTGAGAACACAGACCCGCTGAAATTTGTGTACGAGGATGTTGCCATAGCAACCTACCTGATTTCGCTGTGGGAGCAAGAACGAGCTGAGATGGGATTAGAGAGTCCCCAGTCCTTCGTTGACTTGGGTTGCGGCAACGGCCTTCTGGTGCACATACTCAACAGTGAGGGGGTGAGTATCCCAAATGGCACCGTCGTGGATAGGGTGCAAGTCTATGGACCCTTTTTGCTGTTCCTAGATGGCCATCAATGTCCTCGTTGTGCCTATCTCACTGACTGATTGTCACTTGTGAATAAGACTGTTTGTTGCCTGGTGAAGAGAGCTGGGCAGTGCTATTGTATAGGATTACCTCCTAATGGGCTAAATCCAGCCAATTGTGTACACTTAAACCAGATGCAGTAAATTGCCATTCTGATCAGATTGAATAAAATGTTGTGCACTCCAGGACCCGAGAGGCGCATTGCTGTGCACCCTGAGGGGTTAAAAACGACATATCCCACATCACAGCAGTCAACAATTGTTTCGTTTGAGCCAATAAGTAAAAAAAATAAATGGTTGTAACTTATACTGTGTGATAAATTAAACCACTGCGATGTAACCTTTGATAACTGAAAGTTTTGATGCCCTGCCGGACATGAGACTGAGTGGTTGACGTTGCAATTCTCATTGCGAGAGGCTAGCTATTCTTGGCAGGTTCCATACGCACGCACAACGCGCGCATTGAATGCAGTACGATCTCCGTGTGAAAATAGATATAAGTGTGCGCCATGCGGTTTTATAGACCAGACACATGTCCATTCTACACCAATGAAATTGCAGCATTCAAGCACACGATATAACAATTTACATTGTCAAAGGTATATGCATATAATTTTCAGTTTTAGCTATATTAAAAGGAATTTTGAGAAAATGTATTCAATGAGACAATACATATTCCAAGAAAATTATTTTTGCTCAGGAAACAGATGTTGGTTTTATCATTTGTTTAGTATCCTGGAAAAGGCATCGATTTGAGAAGAAGGAAGATCTGGGATCTGTATGGACCAGAGACCAATCTGGAGGAGTGTTCCATCACTCCATCCGATAGCTTCCTGTTCCCTGATTATGATTGGCTGATTGGCAACCATTCAGATGAGCTGACACCATGGATACCTGTCATGGCTGCGAGGTATTGGTTGGATTGGGTTGGGTTGGGTTGGGTTAGGTTTTGGTTGGGTTTGGTTTGGTTTGGTTGGGTTTGGTTGGGTTGGGTTGAGTTGGGTTACGTTGGGTTGGGTTTGGATTGGTTGGGTTAGACTGGGTTGGGGGCAATGGTGGGGTTGTGTTGGAATTGTTTTGATTGGGCTTGATTGGGTTGGGTTGAATGGGATTGGCTGGGTAGGGTTAGACTGGCCTGGGTTGGTTTATCTTGGGTTAAGGCTGGATTGGGTTAGACTGGGTTGAGATTGGTTGCGTTAGACTGGGTTGGGGTGTTTAGGTATGGAATTGCTTCGGTTATTCTGAGTTGGGTTGGAATGGGTTGAATTGGGATTGGTTGGGTTGGGTTAGGATGGTTGGGTTAGACTGGGTTATCCTGGGTCAAGGCTGGATTGGGTTAGACTGGGTTGGGATTGGTTGCATAAGACTGGGTTGGGGTGATTAGCAGGGTTGGAGTTGCTTTGGCTGTACTGGGTTGGATTGGGTTGAATTGGGATTGGATTAGGATTGGTTGGGTTAGACTGGGTTGGGATTGGTTGCGTAAGACTAGGTTGGGGTGTTTAGCAGGGTTGGAATTGCTTTGGCTGTGCTGGGTTGGATTGGGTTGAATTGGGATTGGTTGGGTTGGATTAGGATTGGTGGGTTTGGATTAGGATTGGTTGGGTTAGACTGGGTTGGGTTATCCTGGGTTACGGCTGGACTGGGTTAGACTGGGTTGGGGACTGTAATGGGTTGGGATTGGTTGGCCGGGGTTGGTGATTGGGTTGGGTTGGGTTGGGTTTGGTAAGATAACATGAACTCTACAACTGACTGATTTCATGTTCACAGATCATCCTATACAACCAGATACTTTGTCCTGCCCTGCTGCTTTCATGACTTTGACATGAAGTTCATGCGGACTGATCAGACCAAGACACAGTACCGCGCCTACCTAGACTTTGTGGAGGAGGTCGGAAGAGTGTGTGGCTTCCAAGTTCAGGAGGACATCCTGAGAATTCCATCCACAAAGAGGGTGGGTTTGATATTTTTGTCACTTTGTTTTTAAACCCAAACTCCTTAGGAACTTACTAGGAACTGGACTAAGTCTATCAAAATCCATCAACCACTGTGCTTCCAATACAAAACTGTACATAACATAATGGAATCCACCACTGACCACTGGTTGACATTCATGGACTTGCTACACATGGCTTTTATCACAATAGCAGTACAGGAAGCTAGGCAAAATCAATCGGATACCCCTAGCACTGCTTTAGGCCATTAGGCCCAAGTCCATCATACTCCATCAAGTCAAGCCACGCCTCCTGGATGAAGTCCCCCAAAATCCACCAAAATGGGGGAATGGATTTTAATGGAGTTGAGGTGGTTAGGGTTAATGTAGATATGAAAGTTATTTATGAGTTGCTTATTATGTGAACACATTTTTAACAATCATTTTGGAACTTCAATACCCAAAAGAAAACTTTATGCCTAAAATTTCGGCCCAATCTAAAAAAGACATTAGTCATTTATGTTGACACAAAAGGCCTTTATATGTACTGGAATCCACTATCCAAATACATTTAATTTCTTTTGCTTGGAAAGCACTGTTTAGAGTTACATACACTTTTGTATTTTTCAAACCTACAATTGATGAATTATCTTGCTTGCCAAACTTATTGCGTCGAACTTTGGAATGAAAAGCACAGTGTTAGCAAGTCAGTGAAAATGTTTATATCAGTGGTGGGAAAAATCAGACCTTTTATTTTTTTATTTAAACAGATTTGCCAAATAGGAAGTCATAGAACCTACACACCAGAGTGGTCGGAAGCTATTCATCAGGAGATTACAGATTACATCGCTAGCCGACACTCCTGTAACAGTGAAAATAATACTGAAAATGCAGTGAATGCTGCTAGTACCTTGACTTGTCAAATACCAAACACTCACTCAAGCTGTGGTGACCAGACTCATGTCCTAGAATCCAATACAAAGAGTTCAGTCCCGTCCGCCCAGTGGGCTCCTCATTTTCACCCCCGCGAGAAAATGGAGCCGGTCCGTAATTGTGCCAAGGTGGACTATGATTTGAGGCAGATGATTGTCAACAAGGTGGCTTGTTCCATACTGACTGATGCAGGGGTGGATTTTGCAGACAGTGTGAGGGGAAAGAAAGAGAAAAAGCTGTGGCGAAAAGGAGGTAATGAAAAGTCAAAATGTGTTAACCAAACTTCCACCCTCATGAGACCAACATGAATGAAATTACTATTTAAAGCAACTTGTAAGTGAATTAGTATAAATTTATCAATGACAACTAGGAATTGAAATACAAAAATGATGTGCTACTAAAAAAAGTAATAGAATTTTCTCTATTTTTCAGGCTCTCTGACTTTTGCGGAGATTGCCAAACTCTTTGACAGCGACACCCTGAAACAGCTGAAGAGCGAATGCGGAGGCTTGAAGACACTCCTCAAAAATTCCCACCAAGTTTTCCAAGGTAAAAAGAAAACTTAGCCTTATGATAATGAATCATGTATCTGTAGGGACATGCATTATTTACAAACAAAACTCGGGAGAAGCCAACACTGTATTTAAAAATGATTTTATGGTACAGCAATGCAACTGGGCAACTGAAGAACACACGCAAACAGACAAACAGTTGTGTTTTTCTATACGCCCTTGGACAATGCTTTGTGTTTCCCCTTTGTCCCTGTAATTTAACACTCTCCCATATACTAAGCACATAACCGTATGATTGAGGACCGTTTTCAACCAAAGACCCTATGCTCAAGTTCTGAAAGGATCTTTTGTTCTCCCTTTGTATGTCTGTCCTCTTTCGTAAAGCCATACATGTACTCGAGTAGATGAAACACCACGAGTAGCAAACACTACTAGTGAGTACACGAGTACTCCGGTTACTCGCCCAGCACTGATACCCTTTAAAAGAAATACCCTTTTAAAGGAATACCCTTTAATGGGCCCAATCTGGCCCATTGTGTGTACGCAGATATGTGGAAAGACTTGCAGTGAACAGCCATTCTGAATTAATGGAATAATTGTCTTGTTAAATATTGTCAGTGTCCAGTTGCAGCGTTGAGATAAGAGACTGGTCTGAAGGTGCCCCAACCCAGCGAGCTCACGCCAAGAAGCCGATGAGAAAAAATGCTCGCAAGACGGACACCTTCAAGACTCGGCTGTGCTGGTTCCACGCCCAGCACCCCGACGGATGCCCTCTCTTGGCTAGCCAGTGCCAGTTTGCGCATGGAAAGGACGAACTGCGGAAATTAATGCTGTCTGTGAAATAGCGCGATTATCTGTGGAACTGTCTGATGTTGTGGAGCACAAATTTGCACAGTACAGAAAACCATTGGAATTTATACAAGTATGGGAGCTAGCTGCATGCAGCTTGGAAAAGTTGCCTTCATTGTGAATCCAATGTCAAAAATTGTGAGATGTTGATATCGGACATGCAACTTTTCCTCAGAGCAGCTGATTTCTTCATTTTCCACTCCACACTTATGGCATTAAAAATTAAAAATCACAGTACAAACTCTTTTCTTAGTTACCTCTCAGTTGCATGCCTGTGATATATGGCATGGTTAAATTACTAAACAAAATAGCAAAAAGCCACTAAACAAAAATGGAACATACGTTGACTTCGTTTGTAATTTTTTTGGGAAATGTGTGTTATTTAACTATTAGTAATCAATTCAGATTACTCTACCTTTTTTGTTATTTGACTGTTGAAAAAATAGAGGAATGCCATCTTAAAACGTCAGGTTTATGAATTTAGTGTTAAATTATAAAAATGAAGATAAAACTCAACACTAAAATGAAAGTGAATGCACAAAACTGAATCAACTTGAACAAGTAGGTAGGTAATAAAGTCATTTTTTTGGTCATAATACTGTTGCAAATCTTTGAAACCTAGGGAAAGGAAGATTGCTTGAGGTTGCAAAAGTCATTGTGGAGCAATAAGAACTGTTGTAGAACTAAAGAAATAGTCCTCCTGATAACTGTTAATGCACCTAAACTGATAACTGTTAATGCACGTTTAACTTATTAATCAGAAGAAACGTTAATATGGTGTGTTTCTATGAAGTGACTGTTTGTGATATTTAAGTAAATTAAGGTATGGAGTACCGAAGTGAATACGTCACGCGCACAAAATGTGTGTGAAAGACATTGGCACGTGATTCAGCTTGTGAACCAACACGCGCGCGTACTCCATTCGTTTGCACTACACTTTTTGGTTCTAAATTACGTCGCACTTCGGTACTCCATAAAGGGTCAGTTGATTTGTACATATCTGATTTCACTTATTTGTGTTTTATGAGAGACAAGAAAAGATGATTATGTTAAAGATGTTTTTGTTAATAAACCACTTACCACCAAATATTTGGTCTGAAAGTCTCACTAAATTGTACGAGTTCAGATGTGACAAAGCTTAAAACAAAAGACGAGTGATCATTGTTTTTACTGGCTGTTAGGCCAAAAAAAATAATAAGTCGGTCTCTGGTCAGCGCGCGCGTCGATTTTAATCATGCGCGTCGATCTTTTTTTTTTTCCCAAAATGTTCCGCGGTAGCTCCAACAGTGCCCTCTATTTCCGCCCCTCCTCAATATTTTTTACCACAGAGCACCAAGGAATGGGAAATTGCACCAAGGCAAATTATGGAGGACACCAGTGTACATAAGGACACCAAAAAAGCAAAATAGTACCCACCTTGTCTGTACAATCCAAGCTTGAAGAAAAAAAAAAAAAGCAAAAAAAAAAAAAAAAGCCGCGTGGCCGCGTCAATCCCGAACTTTGGTCTGACCAGAGACCGACTATTTTTTTTGGGGGGCCTTAATAACTGGGTTTTTTTATACGTCCTCTGTTCGCAGACCATCTTTTTTCAAAACGTTGCTCAGTGAACCTGTCTGACCTGTGGCGTGACCCTGGTCACTGCTGCCCAAAATTGTGCGAGACTTAATCCTGACTTAAGTGCAGTTGTGTGAAGGTGCCATACGTGTGTTACATAGCTGGCCAACACTGTGCATTGAGGTTAACCGAATATTGAAAAAAAACGAAAAAAACAACAACACCCCAACAAACAAAGAAAAGCAACTTTCCAGTATCAAAATTTCATGAAACCAAGATCGTAAGAAAAAAATGTTTTAAATGCCTTGTTTTTCAATACAGTGGAACGTCGCTATACTGAACACCGCTATACCGAACATTCGGTTATACCGAATATCGTCCTTGGCTCCCCATTTTTGTGTAAAAATGTACCGAACATTGTTATATTTCCCCATGGAATAGAAGGGGAAAGCCACCCGTTGCTGTAGGTAGCAAGCTCAAAAACTGTGTAATTACATGATTCAGTAGTCAGCACGTGTTCACAGTCGTCTTTTAGTAACTACCAGGGCGTGCAGGGTGAAGTTCTGAAGGGCGCTATTTGTTGAAAGTGAGTACCGGAGCACCAGCAGCTTAAAATTGCTATACCGAACGATCGCTATGATGAACAATTCCTGTGGATCCTGCAATGTTCGTTGTAGCGGCGTTTCACTGTACAGTATTTGAGTTCACTTACAACATTCCAGGGGGTTCGCTTAGAGTGTAGACACCCCAAACCTCCCCCAGAAGTGTGGGCTGATTCTCCTTTGCGAGTACTTACATGTACCCGTAGAGCACTACTGCATATGCAATATTCCCCTAGGGGAAACAATAAGATTTGTACCTACAGTAACTTGCGGACCGCGCTCAATATTAAAGTCAATGCATCTGGAGAGGCAGGATAGTGCTTTACTGGTTAAGTGCTCGCTAGTAGAATCAGTCCACACTTCTAGGGGGGTGGTATTCCATTGCGCTCATCTTGCCTGTAGAGCACTACTACATATGTAGGGTAGCACCGTTATAGGCAGGTGGGTTCGTGTGTACGACACCAAAGTGTACAAGATGGCCAGCAGGCCACAAGGAAACTTCGCTCGCACCCCCCGCCCTGCAAACAGGACGCTGGGATACTGTGATGAGCTTCACAGAATCTTGTAAAGGAAGTGACCTATGACCTATGTATAAAGCATCTGGCTGCAGCTGTTCAAGACCGCAGTTAGACAATGTATGCAAATGCTATCCGAAAACTTCCCATAAAAATGCGCATATTTCATACCGGATGTAATTTCTGTTTCATTGCGGACCATGTAGACAAAATTTTGAGCGTCGCATAATGCAATCTGACCGTTCGTGATTTGAAACAGAGCCTGAATGAGTGAAATTTACAACACAGATGTTTTACAGAATTTCCTACATTATTACGCTTTTCAACGAGAAAAAAAACATCTCTAAACTGGAATTAAAGAGTAATGAATCAGTCTTAACGGCCGTTTGAAACCTTGCAGAGTCATGACCTTGATGACGCGCAGGTCACTGGTCACGCAAAATCCAACCAGTCAGAGCATGAATTCATCAGAGTATCCCAGCGTCCTGTTTGCAGGGCGGGGGTACGAGCGAACAAGAAAACAGGACATACTGATAAAAAAACCCACCCAGCTATGCTAAAGGAACCAGAGAAAACAACTTACCAAAGGCCTGGTCGTTACTGGATAGAATTGCGGGGCACAGCGGAGGAGAAACCAGGTCTGGTTGCACCGTTGGGTGAGTAAGATGCAGGGCTGCTTGGCCGGTCTTTCCTTCAGACTGCCTTACATCCCTGGGGTAGCACATTGTGAATGAATTGGCAGACTTCAAGCATGCAGCTTGTATAATCTGGAAAAACGACACACTATCAGTGGTGTATCCAGAGGGGGGGGGGGGGGGGGGGGGGGGGGGGGGGAGCAGCAGAGGGGGCACTCTGCCCCTCCCTGCCGGATTTTTTTTCACATTTTTCGTTCAGCAATTATTGCAAGAAATGGTTAGAGAGTTTTAACATCGATCCCCAAAAAGAAAGCCCACTCAAAAACCATTACAATGGGCCGAACAAATGGGTATATAATTTGCAGTATGCATAATAATGGTCAGTTTTGAAGAGCGCCCCCATTTTGCCCCCCTGACATCCAACGCTAGATACGCTACTGCACACTATGGGGAAACTCGCACTAAGTCTATGGGGATTTACTAATGAAACTAAACTAAACTCAGGATCTTTGAAAGGAACCGTCACGAGGAAATTGAATTAATAGAGACCAGAGACACAATTTCAAAATAAAAAAAAAAAATCAAAACGAATTTATTTACAAGAGTTCAAAATCAGGACTAAACCAAAATAAAATGGACCAAAACCAAAAATCAACTTAAAGGGAAGATACAACATTTGCAAACATCAAAAAACGAAATGATCAAATTATCACGAAATATCTTACTGGATGGTTAGGGAATGACATTCTAAAGCACCCTGTAAAATCGTGGCTCCTGGTGTGCTGACATTTTCAAGAAAAATTGAATTTTTCCAACGCTGGTCAGCTGACCAGTGTTGGAGAAAACTTTTTTTTCCCAAAAACTGCTCTTAATTTTTCATAAATAGTTTTTCCGCATTTTCTTTGCAATTGATTACACACCTGTGAAGAGGTACAAGCCTGCCAGACTGATTCTCTGGCCTTACGATTCCCCAAAGTCGACAAACTGCTCCGTTTCATCTTAAGTGGGGTCTGGGAACCAGACTTCAAGAATATGATGCTTTTCTTGGTTTTCCAGCATCTTCAAGCCCAAAACGTGAAGGTAGTCAGTTTAACAATATTTCCTATAACATTCTAATCCTCCAAATCCACTTACTACTGAAAATTGCAGCAAGAGCAAATGTTGTACATTCCCTTTAAAAGACTAAAACTAAACTCAAAGACCAAGACTAAAACCTGAAACCAACACAGTGAAAATTAATGGATCTTTAAAGACACTTTGGCAGAAAATGAACGACTCCAACAGCAGACAACCTAATCTAGGGGCTAGACGTTGTTATTGTTTGATACGCGATAGCCTGAGATAACCAATATCGCCCACGGACTTGTCAGAACAAGGTCTAGGGAAACTGCTGAAATCTCCCCCGAAAAATGGGGGGAAACTAGTGCGCATGTGCGACTTCTGCAGGCAATTACAGTCCATTTTTAGTCCCAGGAGGTTTCATGGTAAAGTCAAGTCAATATGGCCCATCAGGCTGGTGTTATCTCCAGTTCATCTCCATGGCATAAAACAACTGAGAATAGTACTATTCCCCCTGGACGGGATGCCAGTCCATGGCAGATGTTACTCCTCAGCTAATGCCGGTGCCCATGCATGCTCCTGGGTGGAAAGAGGCAAGTTGGGGTAAAGTAGCTTGCCCAAAGACACAACACAGCTGTAACTGGTCTTTTAATTTACGAGTAAAACGCAAACAATTATGCATTGCATTCCATGAGAACAATTGGATAAATAATTTGAAAAAGACATGTTTTCAATCATAAGTCCAGAACTCGGCGAAGGTGTCATCTTTCTCCCCGAACAGCCCTTTAGGTGGCTCAAACTCAATAGGGGCTGTCCTCATCTTCTTATTCGCCACCCAGCCAATCATCTGGAGAGAGAAAAATGAATATCTATGAATATTCATGATAAAATCAATACATCTGAATAAGCCATTTGCGAGTGACCTTTACACTTTGGAAATTTTAATTTGAAAAACATCTGGTACACTGACTTGCTCAGCATGCTTGGCACATTGTAACTTTGAATTCTCCAGACCAAAGACACTGTTGCTAATCACATGATTCGGGGCAAGCTCTTGCAAGTTACGTAAGAGACGCTCAGCACCAATACATTGTTCACAATGGGTGAGAATGGCACAAAGACACCAGACCATGCCAGAGCTGGGTGTTGCTAGCATAAGGCTTGCCCCGAATCATGTGACATACACATGTAGTAACAGTCTCTTTGGGCAGGAGAATGTAAAGTTTAAACGTGCAAAGCATTGGATTAAGTCAGCATTCCAGATTTTATTCAAATTTAACTCGCAAATGGCTTATTGTTAATCATCCCCTCACAAAAAAGTTCACAGCTAGTTTACTAAACAATTAAAAATACTACAGAAAATGATTAACCCTCCTGCTGTCTGAACAGTCACAGACAGTCAAAAAAATCAATCCTCTCCCCTGCCATGCCTTCTACACAGGCTAGTCACCAACAGTCAGATCATATTTCAAGCAAGCACTGTGACTAGTCCAATTCAGTCAATAGACAAAAACTGTTAAGTGGTAGGCACAGCTGGCTTATCAATCACCTACAGTCAAAGCACAGCTGAATCATGTTACATAAATAGTCACAGCCAGTCAATCCCGCTTCATGTAGGCTGAGAGCTCTTAACTGTTGAAAACAGTCACTTGATTGATTTTGACTGAAGGGAAACTTGGCACAGAATGTATGTTTGCATAGGAGGGTTAATATTCATAATATGCAAATGAGCTTCGATGACGTGGATGTTTTAGAAAATGATTGCCTAGGGCCAAAAGACTGGGGTCAAACATTTTGATTTTTTAACACTGACATTGACATTGCCCATGCATTTTGTTGGCATATGTTGACTCACATAAAACTGAAATAACACAATTGAAGTTGGAAACCTCACATTTTTTTTGTTGGAATTGCTCTTAAAAAAAATTGCACTTTTGATGCATGCATAAGTAGGCATACAGTATTGAAAATCCCTTTCATTGAATAGGAAAATCAACCTATACCCAAATGTCCACATCTCTAAACCAATCAACCCTAAAATGGAATAGTACAGCCCACCTCTGAGTAAAGAACTCTAGGAACTCTCGGATGTCCCATTCAGACAGAGGGATTGTTGATAAGGGGTGTGCATTAGAGGTGTGCAAATAAAAAAAGATACCCGGGTACCCGTTAAAGAAACCCAACCCCAAAATTCAAATCTCGGAAGTTGCTGTTCAGATTGTTCAATCATAAAGGTCCGCACAATATATACTACCACATCAGTGCGTCAATACAGCAAGACACATGTACAGTGAGCTTTATAGCTTTACGGTATAAACTGCAATTTTCGCAAGCGTCATAAATGTGAAATATGTTTTATTTTCCCATGTAGCCTGGTTTTCATTTGAAAATTCCCCACAAATGACATTCAAAACCATTCTTTTTCATTGTCTGAGAAGTTCCTGAGTAATTGTTGAGTTGGTTACGTGTACCCGATCCCATAATATGGAACTGGTTCCTGACATTAACGATCCTGTACTCACTGGTACCCGGTTCCTATGCACAGCCAAATTGTTGATACAGTAAAATCAGTTTTGACCCTCAATTATTCATCTCCCATCGCAATCCCCCCAAACACAGTGGTACAGCCCACCTCTGCAGTAGACAGCTCTAGGTATTCAGAGACGTCCCATTCTTCTTTAGGTAAGGGCCTGTCAATCCAGGCAGCCGCTGTGGCCACCCCAGGGTGGTAGTGGGATTTGAGGGTTTGCATCTCCCAAAGTGAGCTGTCCATGGCGCGGCATTTGGCTGGGTCTGTCTCTGCCATTATGTAAGGATCATCTTCAAGTTCTGTCGTCACTAAAGTAAAGTTGTAAATAAAGCAAAGGTTTAAGCACGCAGAGCAAAAGTAAACATCCAAAATTATACAGGGCGAGTTAAAAAAAAAAAAAGGAACCCCCAAATGGCGCCCCCTAGTTTGTAAAGAAGTTCTGCATGTAGAGCTTTCCACGTCTAGGATATGAAAGCCCAACTAATAAGCTTTCTTTTAGCAAAAGAATCATTCAAATCACTCATGTACTTTTTGATTATGGCATTTTGAACACAAACAGTTTTAAAATTGTGTCCACGTATCACATTTAAGGTACGTGATATTTCAGTAACATGAAACCAATATCGTATCATGAAAACTACTTTGCTACCAAAGACTGTAAATCCTCCAAGTTTGACAATGGTGTAGGAAAAAAATCATGCAGTTTAAAAAGTTGCAAATTTAAAGATAACGTGAGGAAAAATATCTAAGCACCAACACACATACATGCCCGTAATTGGGCCCTATCAACTGCACAGTGCCCAATCAAAGCATGGGTAATTCCATTTTGTGTGCTCCCAGGCATACAAGCACTGTGCGATCGATATTCCCTGTTTGTTTTGGGCAGTGCAACATTGTCACGCAGCAATTTCAACTGGCGTACTCTTTAAATTTTCAAGTTTTCAACTGCATCATTTTTTCATAAACCGTTGTCAATCTTGGACGATTTAGAGTCTTTGGTAGCAAACGGGGTATCAAAATGTAGCTAACAACATTCCCTGAAGGTCTATATAAACGATGTTATCATAAGACAATCAAATTTAAAATTATGACCCCTCCAATTCAGTGTGGAATTTCTTTTTTTTGCGGTGTTTATATGGCATCGAGGCATTACTTTAGCTAGTGAAAACACCTTACGTAAGTTTCCACCTGTTACCATGTGTAACCATTCAGCACTCCAGACTCGAAACCAATTCAGTTTTATGAAAAAGGGTCTGGGAACGAGACAAGGAAATTTCAGAAGTTCCTGGATGTCGGCGCTATCTTATATTTTACCTGATGGCCCGTTGGTTTTGTGCACCATCACCTGGCAACTAGGGTGCCGATGAAGCAGGTTACCGACGAACGGAATGACCAGCGTCAGGGCTGTCGGGGGCGCCGTCAGGGCTAGACGGGACAATCGCTTGGCAAAGGCAGCTACTAGGTAAGCAGGTAAGTACCTGTAGACAGAACAACACATGATATGGCTGGTTAACGCATTAATACCTGTAACACCCAAAAGTGCCCTGTCCGTTATGCCCTGTACTGCCCGAAACTGCCCCTGCACTGTATGGTTTTACAGATTCATCAAGGAATAAATACAATGTAATACAGGGTGAGTAAAAAAAACCGAAACGCAAATGTTGGGATTATTGTTTTAGTAAAGTTCTGCGTGTAGCACTTTCAAAATCTAGGATATGAAACCCCAATTCAAAAGCTTTCTTTTAGTACAACAATCATTCAAATCACTCATGTAATTTTCAAGTTACAGAATTTTAAACACAACCACCGTTTTTCACACACATCCCTATGTGATTTGTTTTTGTTTTGCTGAATGAACACTAACCTTTTTGTGTGATCCGTGAACAGAACTTTAAAACGGTGTTTGTGTTTAAAATTCCGGAACTTGAAAATTACATGAGTGATTTGAATGATTCTTGTATTAAAAGGAAGCTTATGATGTTCGACTTTTGCTTCCAAATACTGTGACATCATCAAACCGGAATTTAGGTGCTATTAATACATACACTTATATTTTCATACCTTATTTTAACTTCATAATGATCATCCACTCCGAACTAAATCAGTATTCACTTCCCGTTTTTGACTGATGACGTCATCAAGCCAGAAATAACTTGCATGTGTACATAGAATGTTTACTGAAATTTATCACACTGTTAAAGATGCATTTTTAAACAAAATATTTGATTGTACTGTAAAGGATATAATTTCGTGATCCTTACATAAACATATTCATAACTTAACTGGGCAGTGTCTCATGACAAAATTGCTTGCCCTACCGCTCTGCGTTTGTAACTCAACAAATGCGAACCTCTAGTTATTATTATTATTATTATTTTGGCAACTAAAAAGCAAACCCTTCTCTTACGTTGAGCTGAGGAAGAGATTTGCCAAGTGGAAGAACCTGGCCCTGTACTTGACATGGAAGATGCTCGGCTCAAACAATGCGTACAGCTTCTTGTAAAACTCAGGATATTCCCTAGTAAAATGAGCAGAAAGTAGAAGTCATTATAAGGACCAACAAACAGATCCTAGATATGTGTTTTTACAAAAACAAGTGCTAAATCTGTATTTTGATGAGTAAGTTCATTCATGTTTTTTCACTGTGCAGGTGAAACCAAAATGTTGGGACTATTGTTTTAGTGAAGTTCTGCATTTAGCACTTTCAAAAAAGCATATGAAAGCCCAATTCATAATCTTTCTTTTAGTACAAGAATCATTCATATCACTCATGTACTTTTCAAGTTATGGAATTGTAAACACAACCACCGTTTTAAAGTTCTGGCCATGGATCACAAAAAAAGGTGTGCGTTCTTTCAGCAAAACGAGAACAATTCACACACATCCCTATATGATTTGTTTTCATTTTGCTGAAAGAACACTTATCTTTTTGTGATCCTTGGACAGAACTTTAAAACGGTGGTTGTGTTTACAATTCCGTAACTTGAAAAGTACATGAGTGATTTGAATGATTCTTGTACTAAAAGACAACTTATGAATTGGGCTTTAATATCCTAGATTTTGAAAGTGTACATGCAGAACTTCACTTAAACAATGGTCCCGACATTTGGGTTTTGTTTTTATTTTGTACTCACCCTGTAAGTTCATTCATGTTTTTTTGTCTCCACATCTATGGAATGACCCAAATGTGTTGGGTTTTCTCTGGGGGAAAAACCCTACACATTTGGGAAATTCCCCTACCACAGATAAGGAGTCAAAAAGTGTGACAGTTTTTGGTATCTCTGTTTCAAGATCTAAGTAATTTGCCATGCAAGTATAATTAAAATGGACTTAAAATTATATTTTATTTGTTTGGCAGGTCTTTTGATTTTTATAATCACTCTTCGAGTTAGAAGGCATTAACCCTAACTGCCTTATAAACATCAAAATCCATGCCCCATCTTGGTGGATTTTTGGGGGACTTGGTCCTGCAGGCCTGGTTTGACTAAATATTGATGGAGTATGATGGACTTGGGCCTGGAGGCCTAAAGCAAAGCATGCATTGGAAGCAGTCTGATTGGTGGATTTTGGTGGACTTTTGGCAGTAAGGGTTAAAGAATGTGTCCTGAATTTACAAATCTTACATTAAGACGATACCCCAAATTTAAGGAATGACCCATTTAATCATGTTTTCTAAAGAACAAACACAACTACAACTTTCTAAACAGTGGATTCAATTTGACCCTCAAATATTATCATTTGTTTGTTTTGTTTGTTTTTTCCCCAGCCTGGCAAAGTCCCTTATACAATTTCAAGCACATTATTCAGACCATTAGCTAACCCTAACAGAACTCAACCCATCAAACCCCAACGGCATGTTTTGTTGGAATCTGTCGGAATGGGTACAGTACCCCTAAACTGACAGTCTTTTACATTGGGTTGGCACACCTCCAGAATCAAAGTCAGAAATATGTGTGTGCAGTTTGCCATATGGTGTTGGAATTTGCCAGGATGGGTATGGTTCCTAGTAAATCATGCTAGGGAGTTAGGGTTGGGCTACAATTTACAACCTGGACCGTGATATTTCTTAACAGAAAGTTACTTACAAGTTGTGTTTGGTAATAAGAATGAACAGCCCGTTGAGTGCTAGCAGACTGATAGCACCACCTGGCAAAGAAAAATAAGAATACTTTTGATGATCACTTTGTTTAGATAAAGAATTGTCTCCCATATAACCAATTCATTAGCAGAATGATATCTACATACAAGAACAGATTCTTGGCACAATACTTAACAATTGTTGACTGCTGTGATGTGGGATATGAAGTTTTTAACATCCGAGGGGCGCATAGCACCCGAGACGAAGCTGAAGGTGCTTTGCGCCCAGAGGGGGTTAAAATTGTTATACAGTGCCAATAACTCAAAAAGATAAATAGTTGTAACTTACTGTGTGAGAAATAAATTAAATCGATAACTGAAGGTTTTGCTGAGCTGCCGGACATGAGACTGAGCATTTGACATTGCAGTTCTCATTGCGCAAAGCTAGCGCTCTGGCAGGTTCCAAACACGCACGCAATGAATACAGTGCGATGTTACCTCCAGTGTGAGACATGCATTTTTATTGTTCAGACACCTAGTCCAATGAAATTACAGTTTTCAAGCACACGATATAACAATTCTGTTTGCATCCCTAAAATGCATGAGGTTTGATTATCAGTGCAAACACTACATTTCCCACAGCCACAAAGAATAAAATACTGCTTAGTAAAGTTCAGTAAAAACTAAAAGTAAGTATATTTCAAAGTTTTGCAATTAATTTTGGCTTGTGCACATGCATACATCCCATAAAAAAAAGGATTCTTTGCTTACAGGGTTAGCATAGAATTTCCAAATTTGCACTGTAAATTATTACCATGTTTTTTTTATTATTTATATATTTCTGATAAAGAAATCAAGGATTCCTCAAAAGTGCCCTAGGCACTGTAGCTCGAAAGCCTGAAGAAACTTGTGGAGAGGAGACAATTAAAAGAAATTGAAGTTAGAGGTGGGAAGAAAACCCCAGAAGAATATTCTGGGGAAAACCCACGGAATCAGGCGGGGACTGAAAACCCAATCCACATGTTTACCCAGGCGGGATTCGAACCCGGGTCACAGCGGTGGAAGGCGAGGAAAGTACCGCTACGCCAACCTGACTCCCCGGGTTGCACTTTTATGTTAACCCTAATCCCCTAGGCCCTCTGGCTAGGATGCAACCTCAATTCTGCAAAATCCTCCAATTGCCACCAAGAAAACATTGGATTCAGCCTCAATCCTCCAAAATCATCCATTATTTCTTGAATTTAGTCTGTGGAGGGTGACCACTGCCTCAATCCTCCAAAATCCTCTGCCACTTACTGCTATGTCAAATTAGGTTTTGCCCTTCACCGACATGTAAACATTGTATACTAGGTGTGTTACCTCCCGAGTGAAAGTTGGAAAAAATCACTCAGGTGGGACTCGAACATGCGACCTCCTGCTTTCTAGTGCAGATGTCTTCCCACTCGACCACCGAGCTAACGGGATCGGGTTCCAAAATTCCATCTTATGAATTACTGCTATGGTTTGAGGCAGTGCGAATGGCGTTAAGAAGCAGTGTGGATGAAATACAAGAAAAACACAGGGCTGATTTATGCATGGCTGAACATAACCAATGCAGGATATGGCCTACTGGCTTGACGTAATGCATCCTCCACAAAAAAAAGCGATACATCTTTGTCATTCATCCTCAATCCCCTAAAATCATCCAAAAATGGCAGGAGGATTTTAGGGGATGAAGAGGGTTAGGGTTAATAGACGAATTACTAGCAAGTTAACAAATCCAGTTTAGGATCAAGACTGTTCATACCGATGCTGTAGGAAATGGTCAGGAAGTCAGTGAGTAGGAGAGGGTTGGTCAGGTGTGGCATGACCGCCTCATGAAGAATAACCAGGGTCTTCTTGTAGATGGCTGGAGGTAATGTCAGGCCCAGGAAGATGAGCCAGGCATCGCTGAAATGTCGCCTGTGCTCCTGGACACAAAAATAAAAGGGACGAGTGTTTGCAATTACTTTGTGAACCGCGTACCTAAAAATACAGGGCAAGTCAAAAAATGCAGAACCCAAACCCCCAAAAATGTATTTCATATTTAAAAAAATATGTAGCACCAAACACAGTAATGATTGGAAAACCTATTTCATAAGCTACTTTTAGATGAAAACATTACTGAAATTGCTCAATCCATTCAAAGAATATCACCATTTAAACGCAATGACCCTAAAACCTGTTCTGTCAACAACAAAAAGAGCAGTTTATTGTGTATTCCGATTGTTTGGAACAACGAAGAAAATGACACAGAATACTTGGTTCGACAACTGTAGTGCACGATATCTATATTAACAACCCTGGTCAAATGCTGGTTAAGCAAACAATGCGGGGAGTGTGGCTTAGTGGTTAGGGTTTGTGACTCATGATCAGAGGGTCAGGGGTTCGAATCCAGCTGCTGGCCATATGTTGTGTCCTTGGGCAAGCCACTTTACCCCACTTGCCTCTCTCCAAAGTCTCCATCCAGGAGCACAAATGGGTACCGGCATTAGCTGGGGAGTAACCTGCAATGGACTGGCATCCAATCCAGGGGGAGTAGAAATATTCTCAGTCGTTTCATGCTACTGACACCATCGTCAGGTAATACTTTTTTGTAAAACAATCAAAGAAACGACGATTAACAAGAAAAGTCAAGGTTAAGATACCTTGAGAGACATTATCTTGGCTTCGTCATCGTCCTGCGGTGCTCTACACATGAAATTGTTGATGTCTTCCTCTGCTGTTGGCATGGTAACATGCTCCAATAAGGCAAATGTGTTGTTGCAGAGAGTAGCAAGGTCCTGTGAAAAAAGAAAAGAAAAGAGATATACCTAAAAAAAAACTCATATGAGATCTGCTCCCACAAAAACCAGACAAAGTTGCAGAAGTCGTTTTCGTACGGCATTTCTTAAAGGGAAAATACATCATTTGCAAACATCAAAAAATAAAACTACCAAATCATTTTGAAATACCTTGCTGGACTGTTAGTGAATTACAGTGTAAAGCATCCTGTAAAATCATGGCACCTGGTATACTGCCATTTTCAAGAAAAGTGGTATTTTTGTATCAATTTCCAACGCTGATCGGCCGATCAGCGTTGGAAACAACTGGCTTTTTTTTCAAATACTGGCCCCAATTGACCATCGCACTTGTTTGCAATCGATTACAAACCTATGAACGGGTACGAGCCAGCTAGACTGGTTCCCTGACCTTACAATTCCCCAATGTATGTAAACTGCTCTGTTTCTTCTTATATGGAGTCAGGGAACCAGACTACAGGAAAATGATCGTTTTTCTTGGTTTTTATAGCTTTTTCGAACCCAAAACCTCAAAAAAGTCAGTGTAACTATATTTGCTATATATTTCCAACCCCCCAATTCCATCCATTTCTGAAAATTACAACAAAAGCAAATGATGTATATTCCCTTTAAGGGCATTTGAAGTCATTTGGGGTGGAACTGACCATTTTTAAGATTTCAAAATTTTCTGAATCAGTAACTATCAATTTAAAACCTCCCAAAATATGAATGTAATCAATCAAGCATAAGCATGTTTTTTGGTCGATTATGCGAAAAATATTGTTTATAGAAATTTATACAAAAAGCATTTCAATACGTGTATTTATCTCATAATTGGGTTGTCTATTTATAAATTTTCATCTTGTATGTTTTGTTCCAACCAAAAATCTCTTTTCCCCCTTCTGGGACTTCTGTTACCCTCTGAATAATGGTTTTTGTTCTGTTTACAAAGTATCGGTTTTTCGATCAGACTGGATCAGTCTGTACATTATCGATATTGATTGTAGGGCAGGAACCAGCCTACCCCACGAGAACGGAATTTCTGTTTGGCAGCCAATAATTTTGAGATTGTAACGAATTAATTCAATAACTAAACATGGACCAATTTTGTTTTCGGTCGATGTCTCATTCAAAAGTGAAAAATTTAGAAAAGGAATCAAGTTTTCGGGATGAAACTCAAAAATAGCACGGGGAACGCAAAATTTAAATGAAATTCAGAAATGGTACTGTACTCTTCCAAGGAATTGTTCCTTTTAAAATTTGTGTTGCCATTTTCAAGGGTATTTTGGTGCCTTTTTAATTTTTATGCTAATGCAAATTTCCATAATCATGAGCAAAGTCTGATGTCATTTCAGGCAGAAACCTCAATGTTACAGCTATTTCAGACCAAACGTTGACAGAATGTCGGATATTTCTCTGCCAGAAATTTTCTTTTCTTTACTAAATTGTTGTGTCAGCACACAGTAGTAAGCCAATGAGCAAACTTTTTTCACTAATATTTTCAATAAGCAATTTTTTGGGGTTCGCAGTTCGAACAGAAAACCCCTAAACTGAACAGCGTCTTCCTGAAATGACATCACAGCAACAGCGCCCTCAGTTGTCTGAAAAAGCATGGAACATTTTAAATGTTTAACCCTAACAACCCTGAGCCCATCAAGCTCCAACAGCGGGTTTTGCTTGATTTTGGCAGGGTTGGTACCGAACACTGGCCAGCTGGTGTTGGACTTTGATTGACGGGGTACCAAAGGCCCAGGGAGACCCTGTTGAATTTTGTGAGGTTCGGGGCAGAAGGGCATGAGATTTGTGAACACGTTGGAGTTCACTGGCATTTCTTCGTGGGTATGCTCACCCACAGTCCTCAGCACAGCTTGTGGTCAAATGTGCATGTACATATTGCTTTATTTTGTTAGGTTTGGTACCATCCCTATCCAATCACTCGACAATGCATAGGCCCATCCATACCAAGTCAATCAAACTCCAACAGTTGGAGTTTGGCAGGTTTAGTACTGTTCCCCGCACAAGGCCTGTTGGAGTTCGGCAGTTTTGGTACCAGTGCTTACAGACCTGTATGCAGCTGTTGAAATTTGTTAGGTTTGGTATCCTTTCTAGTGCAAGAGCCTAGGGGGTTAGGGATAAAGAGTTGTACTTTTCAATAAAAATTAACCAAAAAGGGGATGTCAAATATTTTTCATACATTTCAGAGGAGTAGAAAGTTGCACAAAATATGTTCCTAAGAAAAATTCACTTCATGTACCCTTTAAACATACCACGTACATGAGTATTGTGTATTAAACTGTCAATGCAACATTGTACCCTAAAGTTCGATTCATCACAAGTCCATCAGAGGTCAATTACAATCATCACGGCCCAAGTCAGGGCCCAATAGACCATTATCATGTGCGGCCATCTTGATTTTTCCCCATTCAAATCAATGTAACCAAAGCGAGGCTGGAAGGAAAAATAGTCTGGTTCCTTTTTGCACAAAAAACATTATCATTCAGTACTGTTATTGGAGACAGGGAACATGACTGAAATGGTACTGCTAAACCACAAAACTCACCTGTTTTGCATCTTCCTTGGCAACTTTGGCAAGCTGTAGTCTGACCTGTATGAGAACGTGAAACCTGATGTCATCGTACTCCAGATATTCCTGGAATCGGCTGATCAGATCCTTCATGTCCAAATCCTTGGACAGAAGCTTGGGAACAACATGCTGGGGGTTGCAAAAGAAAAACACAGTCCATAAAATGTAATTGAAAAACACGAAAGGCATTCTATTAAGCGTATTTTATGCAGCAGAGGCTTATAAAACAAGAAAAGTAGTGTTAAAGAACACGAATGCCCCACAAATGCCCCGCAAAAAAGTACATGAGTGAGTAATTAAATTTGCACATACTGGTTTGGTTAAACTAATAATAATAATAATCCTTTTGTTTGAATCCTAATGACCTTGGCCTTTGTCTTATGGGGTCCAAAATCATTCATTTTCTCTAAGGTTCATGACATACATGTACATAAAACATGAGTTATCAATGTGAAACCAAACACACACGCACAACCCCGCATAGTACTGCAGTGCCCATATGCATGGGAGTCGCTATTGGAGTCGTGTACAAAACCTATGGGAGTCTTCCTAAAAAGTATAAACAAAAGAGGGACAATAGGGCGTCCACGATCGACAGTGTGTTTCTGTCTTGTATTACGCTCGAGGACGGAAAGGGAGAACAAAAGATCCTTTCAGTCCTCGAACGACGGTGCTTTTGTTCGAAACTGTCCTCGATCGTACGTTTACGTGCTTAGTCTATGGGAAAGTGTTAAAGTACAGGCACAAAGGGAGATACAATAGGTTGTCCTCAGGCGTATAGTAAAACACGACTGCATGAACACGTTTGTGTGCACACACACATATACAAGTGTGTACATGTATTTGCCTGCAATCAGGGACCCCCTATTGTCACTCTTTTGTTTGTACTAACTTTTTAGGAAGACCTCCCATATGTTTGTACACGATCCTCAATTGTGGACCTTTGGGAGATTGGGGACCCTATTGTCCTCTATTGTTCAACGTCCCCAATTGAATGCAGAAACAAACTTACACCCCCCCCCCCCTCCGCGCCCCCAATGGAAGGACAAGGCGACGCGGGGCAAACAAAAAAACTGGACTCTATTTTAGAGCACTATGGAACAGTGGAGGGAAGATAACTTGGGATGTGTAGTGTCATTGTGCTTTTGATTAAAACATCACACCCTCTGCACTAGGGGATTTTCAACTCTGTATTGACATAATAAACATGCTCATCTGAAATGTCAAACTTACAGACAGCACACTGACTGGGAACACATATCCCTGCAATTCCTTGGTCCTCAAAGGATGGTTTGACTCGGCTTGAAGAAGCTTCATCAGGCTACACAGACACAACTCCTACAAAATACAACAAAACAAAATAAAGCAAACACAGTGCTTAAGGCAATTGTGTGGAGGGGACACTTACATCATATTCAGATTTTCTGCGATCAATACAACAGAATCCTTTTAACTGCGGCAAAATTGGTGATTTGTATACCGCATGATCAGAATTTTTTTCATCGCATAACCCGAGGTTTTTCGATTTTTAGCCAAATTGCCGGATATTGGTGAGTATTATGTTCGTCTTTCTTCGATTGTTGCACATCTCAGGAATTTTTTTCATGAAATGCAGTAATTTTTTTGGTGAAGTTGAAAGTCTTAGCTACGATTTGGTGTATTGTAGTTGACATGCTCCACTTCCATGTAAACTGCTGCACAAATACTGCGATCATAAATGCAGCGAATGACTGCACATTGCCATTCACAGGTGCGTGGACAATGCTCATAAATAATTCACGACTTTGACCCAAGCAGTGGACTTTGCCATTGCGCATGCTCACAACACAAACAAAATACAGTAAACACCGGCCAAGTCGACATCGCAAAAATCGCTCAAGTCCGCCCTCTGACTAAAGTACCGATTGTCCGTAATGCATTTCCATTGAATTTTTTATTTCTAAGTCGGCTTTTATAAGTCGCCATTTCCCTCAAGTCGTCGTGTTACTCTCGGTCCCCTTTCCACAAAAAGTGTAACAAAATCCTTTGTGTAAGTCGGCATTCAAAAAAATCTCGCATTGCATCGACTTCCTGTACTGCGGTTGGCAAAAAGTGTTGAGTGAAAAGTGGTTTGGCGCGGCCCCTGATCACTGCATCGGTACGGTACCAGTACGCGGTGTCGCTGCACAGCCAAGCCAAGGGGTTTACTGCATACATCATAAGCATATCAATATCAGCACCCCCTCTAGGCCTGAACGCATGCGCTCTGTCTATTTTTGGGGTCATCTTATTGAATGATGCAGTCAATACCACACCCACTTTTAATTCATAAGTGTGAACATGTATTACTATTTTGTACACGTGGTCTCCATTATCAATACCCCAGCCTGTGATGATAAAATTTGAGCATTAATTCGCTGGAATCAACTCAAGCATTAAGGAGATAAACTAGGGTAAATCGAAGCCAATAAGTGTAATTAATCATATGTGCAAAAAAGGCCATTCGTGAAAGTCGGCAAAATGACGACTCGCAGCAGATGTCGGCATTCGCATAAGTCGTCACAAATTCTCGGGTCCAGAGAGTGCCGACTTAGCTGGAGTTTACTGTATGCTTTACTGTCAGTGGGTGATGTTTATAAGTGCTGAGCTTGATTTGTCTCTGAGCAAAGCAATCTTACCTGAACTGCGGGAGCCTCCGAGAAGTTCTCCATCCCCCGAGCCAAGCACCTGAGGCAGTCATGATACCTGTCCTGCAGCCAGGCCTTGTACTGATCCTCCGGCTTCATGCTGGCATCCTCCCTCTCTGAGTCGCCTTTCTTGGATGTCGGCTTCGCTTTGGCTGAAGTCAGCGCATCTTTACTGAAGAGGTGGGAGAATATCTTGTGGAGACTCTTGACCGCAGCAGCAGTGATGGACTTGTCATCGGACTGTTTTTAGAGTCACAAAAATAGGATAATTATCCAACCCTCAAAAGCAAAGTTCGAAATAACCACATGTATGCACCGGCACTACTGACTGTTTTTAGAACGATTTTAACCCTCCTGCTGTCTGAACAGTCACAGACAGTCACAAAAATCGATCATCTCCCCTGCCATGCCTTTTACACAGGCTAGACACCAACAGTCAGATCATATTTCAAGCAAGCACTGTGACTAGTCAAATTTAGTCAACATACAAAAGCAGGCAATTGGCAGACACAGCTGGCTTATCAATCACCTACAGTCAAAGCATAGCTGTATCAAGTTACATAAACAGCCACAGCCAGGTGGGCATATAGTCATATAGATTCGCAATAGATTTTTGCAATGCCGTAACGATAGCAGTTGAAAACAGCATTACGGCTGTCGTAACAATAGCCACTACGTAAATAAACAAAATTGAAAAGGGCATTCCCCTCTCCTTTTTTGAGAAAGCCCGGATGAGACCTAAATTGACCTTACTTGACCTAAATGAACATAATTTATGGAAAGAATGTAGTATCCAGACGTCACTTCTTTGGTTGTGTACAAAGTGTATGGAGAGTCGAGTGCATTTTCAAAGCCTGTATTTTCTAACAAAACTGGAAATATTTCTCAGTCCCAGATTCATCTTTTTCCAAAGATTTTTGCAATAACTTACCTACATTGAGATAATATACAAAGGAAAAAAGTGGTGTCAGGATGTAGCATTCTTTCTGCCTAACGTGTAACGTTATAAGGGGCCTACTAATAAAATTAGAAAGAATTCCACTTGTGGCCATCACTAATTTTTTATCACTAATTTTTCCCTGCAATGACCTATCAACCATCAGAAAGTGATAACATACATCAAATTTAGCAGGAAAAAAATATTGAAGCATTTCCTGAAAAAACACTTAGAATTTTTCATATCAGTTTCACAGGGTTTGTGCACAGGGTGTCAAGTGACATCAGGGCCCAATCTCACGGCGCTGCTTAACAGTTAGCAGAAAAGTTGTGCTTAGCATAGCAGAAACATTTGCAATCCTTAAGCACTCAGAGTATTTCATGGCGTGGATGTGCATACAGTCGCATGTGCATGGAGATTTCTATTGTTACGTCACTATGATCAAGTTAAGCAACCTGACGCCACTTTTTTCTTCATTATATCATCTCAGTGAAGGTCAGTCATTGCAAAAATGATGATACTTAGTCATGTATATAGGACTGAGAAACATTTCCAATTTTGTTCCAGGAAATACTTACTTAGACAATTTTCTTGACTCTTCATAAACTTTGTACACAACCGCTGAAGTGGCGTCAGGTTGCAACATTCTTTCCATACTCTGTACATAATTGCCAGAGTGGCGTCCGGACACTTTCAAGAAAGTAAAAATGTTTGCATCCGTCATTTCTGTCGGAAATAGACGGAAATGCGTTTATTTCAACGTTAAACAACGTACACAAAAACTGACTGGCATACAACTTGTTCGTTTCTCACCTGGACAATCTCCAGCAATTCCACCAAGGAGTTAGAGTGTCCTCTACTCTCAAGAAACAATTTTTCATGTTCCTTGATGTCGTTAATCACGGCTTTCCTTTGGTCTTTGGTCATTTTCTGAGACCCCACGTGTTGGCTCCGTTCTTCCTTGGGCGCGGCCATCTTGAATTTCGACCAAGTCCATTTGAGAATAGGGGAGCTACACTCATATTAATACTGAACTCATTAACTCTTGAATAATATGGGGTACAGTAAACACGTTCCACAGAAGTTCATCGGCATAAATATGTAGGCCTTTGGGAAAAAGCACATGGACTTAACCAACGTTATACAAAATGCACATTCTAAAATCCTGCCCCACCCCCACTCCAAATGTGACTAGCTGATAACTTTACGCCAATCCTTGGCTCGATCGATAAGATTTAATTTAATTTTTAAAATGATACAAAATAGAACTGCAGACAAGTAAATTGAATAATATGAAAAAAAGATAACTCGAATAAATAAATAGCACAAATTAGAAACCATAGAGGCATTTGCAAGAAGCCGAAGCTTCTATACTTAAAAAGGTATAGAGATGAGTTATCGGCATACGATCTAAAAAAAAACACGACGCACTTTATACAAATAAGGCAGACAATAACTCAACAAAAACATTTTGTTTTGAATTGAAATTCCGACCAATAATATTCGGTATATGTGCCACAAGCCTCTTGAAATTTGAGGGAACTGTCTGAGAATAAATTTAATCCGATAAAAATAAATACATGTAGTGTGCATATCGCGAAAATAAAAATTCAATCCGAAATAAATCAATTTTAATTGGAAAAAAAATAAGACACTCTTTGTGGAGACGATAACTCAAGAAAAGTGTACTGCATTTATTTGAAATTTTGTCTCTTAATTGGTTTTGATATATGAACACAACAGGTTTGAAAATCGGCATGAACCGTTGAAGAATTAATTTAATATGATTAAAAAAATAAAGTGTGTTAATCCCAAAAAATTCACGTCAATTTTTATTGAAGAAAAATAAAACACTCTCTGTGGAGACGATAACTCAAGAAAAACATATTGCATTCAATTGAAATTTCGTCTATTGATTGGTCGTGATATATGACACAACAGGTTTGAAAATCGACGGGAACCGTTCAAGAATAAATTTAATATAATGACAACACAAAAACTACGGTGTGTAAGAACGCGAGCACTCCCATACATTTTGCCAAAAGCAACTTCTTCCAAAAGAGGGCGCGCTACACAAATAGTGGTCACCACCGTAAATACACCTGAAACATACAACTAAAGAAAAACATATTGTTGTGAATTAAAATTTCGACCAATGATTTTTTGGTGGGATATGTTACACAAGCCTATTGAAATTCGAGAGGAACTGTTGAAGAATAAATTTAATAATAAACAGTGTGTTATCGCAAAACAAAAGTCAATTTTAATTGAACAACTTTAAAACACTCTTTGTTGAGACGATCAAGAAAAATATGGTGCATTTTAATTGAAATTTCGTCCAATGATTGGTTAGCATGTGACTTGCGCTTGTTGAATTTCCGTAGGATCTGTGAGAATAAATTTAATATGATAAAAAAATACCCGTGTGCAAGGACATTACCCGTACATTTTACCAACTGAAATTTTGTTCCAAAAGAGGGCGCGCTACACAAATAGTGGTCACCAAATTCTGTCAACACGGATATGGGGATCACGATCTGCGAAACTGAAGTCGGCTTTGACCAAAAATACTACACTCGTTGTGCAGATAATAACTCAGGAAAAACATGTTGTTTTGAATTGAAATTTCGACCAATGATTGTTTGGGATATGTGACACAAGCCTATTGAAATTTGAGGGGAACTGTCGAAGAATAAATTTAATAATAAACAGTGTGCTATCGCAAAACAATCCGAATTGAAGTCAATTTTAATTGAACAAAAAATAAAACACTCTTTGTGGAGACGATAACTCAAGAAAAAGTTGTTGAATTAAATTGAAATTTCGTCTATTGACTGGTCGTGATATATGATACGAGAGGTTTGAAAATCGATGGGAACCGTTGAAGAATAAATTAAATATGATTTAAAAAACATACAGTTGGTTCATCCCGAAAAATTTTGCCATCCCGAAAATTGTGCAGACACTCATTGTGCAGACGAATAACTCAAGAAAAACACACTGCATTGAATTGAAATTTCCAATGATTTGCCAGATTATGTGACTTACGCTTTATTGAAGTTCTGTGGGATTCTGTGATAGAATATATGTAATATGAAAAACAAAAACTACAGTGTGTACTCGACTGTACATTTTGCCAACTGAAATTGTCTTTCAAAAGAGGGCGCGCTACACAAATAGTGGTCACCACTTTTACGTAATGCCTTCTCGTCAGCACGGATCAAGATCTGAAAACGAAACTGAAGAACAAAAATAGAACTCTCCGCGTTGTGCAGACAATAACTCAAGAAAAACATGTTTTAAATTGAAATTTCGACCAATGATTGCGAGAGATATGTGGCACAAGACTATCGAAATTCGAGGGGAACTGTCGAAGAATACATATAATACTACTAAAATTGTGTGTTATCGCGAAAAATTCAATCCGATTTGAAGTCAATTTTTAATTGACCAAAAATAAAACATTCTTTGTGGAGACGATAACTCAAGAAAAACATATTCAATTTAATTGAAATTTCGTGTATTGATTGGCCGTGATATATGACACGACAATTTTGAAAATCAACGGGAACCGTTGAAGAATGAACTTAATATGGTTTTAAAAAAATACAGTGTGTTAATCCCGAAAAATTCAATTCGAATTGAAGTCAATTTTATTATTGAACAAAAAAGAAAAACACACTGCATTAAATTGAAATTTCGTCCAATGATTGGCCAGGTTATGTGACTTACGCTTATTAAAGTTCTGTGGGATCTGTGATAGAATAACGAAAAACAAAAAGTACAGCGTGTAAGTGCACTCCCGCACATTTTTCCAACTGAAATGTTCTTCCAAAAGAGGGCGCGCTACACAAATAGTGGTCACCACTTTTACCTTAAGACTTCTGTCAGCGAGGATCAAGATCTGCGAAACTGAAGAACACATATAAAACTCTAGTTAGACAATAACTCAAGAAAACCATGTTGTTTTGAATTGAAATTTGGACTAATGATTGTTCGGGATATGTGACACAAGCCTATTGAAATACGAGGGGGAACTGCCGTAGAACAAATGTAATATGATTAAAACAAATAGTGTGTTTCGCGAAAAAAAAAATCAATCCGAATTGAAGTCAATTTTTATAATTGAACAAAAATAAAACATTCTTTGTGGAGGCGATAACCCAAGAAAAATACATTGTATTGATTGGAAATTTCGTCCAATGATTGGTCGGCATATGTGACTTCCGCTTATTGAATTTCTATAGGATCTGTGATAAAATAATTTCAATATGACATGAACAAAAACTACAGTATGTAAGGACATTACGCGTCACTTTTGCCGACTGAAATTTCCCTCCAAAAGAGGGCGCGCTTCACAAATAGTGGTCACCACTATAAAGACTTCTGTCAACGCGGATCACGATCTGCGAAACTGAAGTCGGCTTTAATTGAACAAAAATAAAACACTCGTTGTGGAGACAATAACTAAAGAACACCATGTTGTTTTGAATTGAGATTTCGACTAATGATTGTTCGGGATATGTGACACAAGCCTATTGAAAGTCGAGGGGAACTGTTTAAGAATACAATTAATATGATTAAAATAATTAGTGTGTTTTTCGCGAAAAGTTCAATCCGAATGAAGTCCATTTCACACTCTTTGTGGAGACGATAACTAAAAAAAAAATGTATTGCGTTTAATTGAAAATTCGTGTATTGATTGGTTTTGATATATGACACGACGGGTTTGAAATTCGACGGGAACCGTTGAAGAATGAATTGAATATGATTAAGAAAACATACAGTGTGTTAATCCCGAAAAATTCAATCCGAATAGATGTCAATTTTATTGTTGAACAAAAAAAGACACTCATTGTGCAGGCAATAACTCAAGAAAAACACACTGCATTAAATTGTAATTTCGTCCAATGATTGGTCAGATTATGTGACTTACGCTTTATTGAAGTTCTGTGGGATTCTGTGATGGAATATATTTAATATGAAAAACAAAAACTACAGAGTACAGTGTGTACTCGACTGTACATTTTGCCAACTGAAATTGTCTTTCAAAAGAGGGCGCGCTACACAAATAGTGGTCACCACTTTTACGTAGGCCCTAATGCCTTTTGTCAGCACGGAAACTGAAGAACAAAAATAGAACACTCCGCGTTGTGCAGACAATAACTCAAGAAAAACATGTTTTGAATTGAAATTTCGACCAATGATTGTTAGAGATTTGTGACACAAGCCTACTAAAATTCGAGGGGAACTGTCGGAGTACATTTAATAATACTAAAATAGTGTGTTATCGCGAAAAATTCAATCCAATTTAAAGTCAATTTTTAATTCAACAAAAATAAAACACTCACTGTGGAGACGATAACTCAAGAAAAAACACATTGCATTTAATTAACATTTCGTCTTTTGATTGTTCGAGATATTTGATGTGACAGGTTTGAAAATCGATGTGAACCGTTGAAGAATGAATTTCATATGATTACAAAAAAATATAGTGTTTTAATCGAGAAAAATTCAATCCAAATTCCAGTCAGAAAAATGTATACACTCAATTAGGCCGACAATAACTCAAGAAAAACATAAATGTTTTAAATTGAAATTCCGACCACTGATTGTTCAGGATATGTGACACAAGGCTCTTGAGGGGAACTTTTCGCGATTAACACAAACTATATTTTTTAATCATACGAAGTTTCAATTAAAGGCAATATGTTTTTCTTGAGTTATCGTCTCCACAAAGAGTGTTCTATTTTTGTTCAATTAAAATTGACTTCAATTCGGGATAAACACACTATTTATTTTAATCATATTAAATCTGTTCTTCTACAGTTTCACTCAAATTTTTAATAGCTTGTGTCACTTATTCCTTACAATCATTGGTCGAAATTTCAATTCAAAACAACATTTTTGTCTCGAGTTATTGTCTGCCTAGGGGCGTGTTTCATTTTTGAAGAAAAAAGTTGGCAAAACTTTAAAACATTGTCAACAGAGGGCGCCAAACACACATGCACAGCTGTTTAGACAGATACCCAGCGTTTCGTTTACCGAAACTGTTATATTTGGCAGAAGATTTTGGTTACCAGACCGCAATAGGTTAACGTGGGTGGGCGTGCAAAGATTCTTGAATTTTTTGCCAATATGGTCGTGAAAGAGACAACAAAAGGGCTGGCTGAATGCCTAGCAACGATCGAGAAGCACGAAGGGAAGGGCCTGGTGTTTATTCTGTTTTGTGGGGACAAAGATGCCTCTGGGAACAGTTGGTGTCCAGATTGTGTGGATGGTAAGCGTAGCCAGACATGCTGAGTCGAGACGGAGCGTAGGCCTAGTTGATCATGATGAGCAATGATTTTGGAAAGAATGTTGCAAACTAACATGCCGGTTGCCTGACGCTGCTTTTTCCTTCATATATCATCTAAATGAAGGTCAATCAAAATCATTGCAAAAATGATAATAAGCAATAAAGCACGATAAGACATGAATCTGAGAAACATGTCCAATTTTGACGAAATAGGCCTACTTTCTTGACTCTCCATAGACTTTGTACACGGTTTCAGGTCAACTCGGTCCGCGACCAACTCGGTCCGAGTCAACTCGACATTGGGATATGATCTGGTGATAGCTAGATGGCTGCAATCAATTTAATTTAACCAACCACCCAACAAAAAACATCAGATTTCCCCCTGAAAATGGCCACAAAATTACGATATTGTGTGAGATAAGTAGAGATCAGTGTTGTAGACGAGTCAAGTCCATCACAAGTCCTTCAGTCTCAAGTCAAGTCAATAGCTAAATTCAACTGAACTATGACAAAAGCTAGCCCCACTTGTGTGGCCTCTGTATTGCTGCGCTGTACGTTAGGCCACACGTCTGGTTTCCCAATCTACTGAGGAGTTTAGTCTGAAACTTGCACATGAGGACTCCAGAAAGAAGTCTAAATTTCTCTAAAAATTTGAAGAAAGATTACCTTATCTACCCGGAGGGCAAAAGATAAGGCATCATGTAATACAACCGTATGCAGTGGTATGTAAAAAAATGGCAAAAAAAGTTGTGCCAGGCTTTGGACTAAACTCCTCAGTAGGTTGGAAAACCAGGCGTGTGGCCGAACGTACAGCGCAGCAATACGGAGGCCACACAAGTGGGGCTAGACAAAAGCTTTCCTTTGCTATTGTTTATCCCGTTACTTGTGACTTGACTTGTGATGGATTCGACAACGGCAACAAGTGTAACAAGATGGTCTGAAGGCTTGGAGGTTTGAAAAATTAAAATTAACTTTTTGATTATTTTCCCCTCTTCTAGCTGAGCCTGTTGTGACCGCAGGTCTGGCATCAGCCCCAGATGATGCAGTATTTATCTACTGCTGTGTCGGAGACCGGGCTTTGTGAGTGCTGGTTTTTGAATTAACAATTTTTGTAAATCCTAAATTCTAAAAAAGTTCACAACGTTTTATACATAACAATTATACACTTTCAGAAAGCAGTACTTAGCGGTTTTGGAAGAAAAAAGAATGGAACATGATGCTTTTTTTGTGTGCAATATCCTCAGTGACAGTCAATCTTTGCAGACGAGTTGAAAAAACAAACACAACTTTAGGACAGAGAAACTTTTCCAATTTCGTATGAAAACATTAGGAATAATTGTGACTCCAATTAGACTTTCCACTCGACCACTGTTTGAGTAAAAAAAATACCGCAACTAACATTTGCTGTATTTTCTCTCATTTCTGCAGCTGGAAAGATCAGCAGAATGGTTTCCGGACGAACAATAAGGTGAAATTGAGCGCCGTGCCGACGCTACTCAAATGGGGAACGGTAGGTATCACATTGCATGGCAGGCATCCTAGATTTCAAATCAAGCACTTTTGTGGGGGTGTGGTCCTTCACGCATGCACACTGCACTGAACCGCTAAACCTGGCATGGTATAATATAGACCTTATGCGTAGCAGCCATCTTAGAGGATCTTTGCTTGGATATGCATGAGTGAACCTTTTGTGTACTCACTGTTACTGAATTAAAATAAAAGATGCCCTCTAAAATGGCCGCTATTCGTAAGGTTTATACCGCACTCTTGCTTAACTTGTATGTCAGTTTCTCACTGACCTCACAGGGCACATGACACAAGAGGGCGGTATTTTATGCCCTGCCAGGTTATCCGCTCCGTTCACAAGTACCCCCTCACCGGCAAAGAAAGTACAGTTGGGGGTGACCGAACGACGCAATCTTGCCTGACTGCAATATATTGCTGCGGAGCAACATAGTACAAATCCCCTGGTGTACGTGTGTCACACACAAGGAACGGTGCGTGTGCGTCAACCAGCGAAATGTATGTGCCCCGCCTATGGGACGTCGTTGCTAGGTAAAAGGGCGCCCTCTTTTGTTGGCACACGGAGCCCATAGGGTCAATGCACCATGCACAGGCAACAGACACGAATTAATATAAGGACTTCATTTCAAGTCTGCAGAGGTTAGCAATGCACTGTATTTCAACTTTATACAGTCGCTATCAGTTATTCAACGTGACGTGCGCGAGTGCAACATGTGTGGAGTTAATGTAGTGCATTGTGTCCAACATGCCGAAGGCCGAGTGGTATATGGGGTGCAGACACACTTCATGTTCCTCGTTCCACGAGTGGGATTACAATTTATCTTCAAGCAAACTTGACGTACCGTAAAGTTGGAACAAACACGCTGTACACAAATTTTTCAGCGGTCATCCTTTGGCCGAGGGAATAGCGCGCGCATCATGCAAAAGCGCGATACGCAGAGTGCGGTTTGGACCGTGGTTTATGGGATAATGTAGCACGGTTTGTTGCCATGGATCAACCAATCAGGATTGAGGATTCAAGTTTGCTTGAAGATAAAGTTTATTAGCAGTTTAGCATTTAGGTGCAACATACGCCTTGATAAAACGATTATTCAATCAATCGTCATTGATTGAACTTGCTGGAGATAACATCTTGAATCTCCCTGAAAAACCCAGACACCTTGTAAAAATATATCTCAATCTATTTTTTTCTTTTTCTTGCAGCAAAAACGATTGGTCGAAGAAGAATGCAAGAAACCGGACCTTGTGAAGATGTTCTTTGAAGACGACGATTAATATATATGGACTTCAATGGAAAACACAGCAGTGGTGTGATCCACTTAAAGCTACAGTCCATCATTTGTAATTTGTGCATTTTGTTCATTTGAAGCAAACAAAAGGGTTCAAAATCTAATGAAGGATACTGAACAACTAACCTGATGAAGTTTCAGCTCAGCTTCAGCTGTACATTCCGAGAAAAACAGCATTCTAAGATCTCAATTTCAAATCAAAAGTTACTGTATCATGTTTTGAATTGTTTTGAATTCCAGCTATACGCGACGTCGCGCACTGATCCGACGAATTATAACAACCGCGCGTGCGTGTGCGTCGTTCCAATACTTGTGCGCGCTGCGCTGAATAACAAAACGAACTACTAATTTAAATATTCCTACGGTGCTTCTTAAGAATCACCGTTGGAAATGTCTTCTTTCGTTGATTACTTCAAAATGACAGCTTCCCAGAAAGAATAATTTCACAGGGAGTTTAGTTCCCTTACCATCTTTCAACCAAGTTTGTTTTTCAACAATAATTACGCCAGTTACTTTTCGGATGGCTGCAAATGATGGACTCTAGCTTTAAACACAAACGTTGTCAACAATCTCTCGGTGTTTTCGCACAGAAAAATCGCGAATGTAGGCAACATTAGCGTGAATGGAACGCAACCCAGAACTGTTTGAATGTGTGACAGTTTGTCTTGGGCAATGGTGTCGCAAGACTCTAAAAGTTTGGGGGGGGGGGGGGCAAGTGAAGGGCAAAGAAATAAAAGTCATATGCTACCATTTGCATTATATCACTAACAACTCTAATAGGGCCACAGTTTGTTATTAAATTTGCTCTGATAGGGCAACACATCTTATTAGGGCAACACATAAATGTCGCCCTCTTATAAAAACTGCCATTTGACCCATTTTGACAAGGGCTACAATTTGGGTTAGGGTTAGGGCTAAGGTAAATTTTGTGCACAAGTCTTCATGGAAGTGTCGCCCTATTGTGGTTGTTAGCATAATTATTATTAACCCTAACTCCCTAGGGGTGTGCAAAATCATATTGAAATTGGAGGATTCAGGACTGTTAGGGCTATTACAACATTATCACCCACAAAATTTGGTGAGGGATGTGTTATGGTAAATCACGGGAAAGATTTCCATATCTGGCCATCACTAATTTTGACCTTCAGTGACCTGTCGGCCATCAGAAAGTGATAATATGTCCTAAAGTCAAATTTAGCAGGGAAATATTGAAGTATTTAATGAAAAAGCACTTGGAAATTTTCAGACCAGTCTCATTCGGTTTGTGCACAGGGTGACAAGTGATGGCCAGATATCGGAATCTTTACAAATCACGTTACAGTTTGTCTGCCCATAATCCATAATTCCAAAATCCATAATTCTACCCCAAAGAAAAAGGTTTTGACAAAAAAATACACTTTAAGTGTATTTTTTTAACCTTTTTCTTTGGGCTATAATTATGGATTTAACCATAATTCCATCTCACTGCCACATCACTCACATGAAAGGTCTTGAAAATGTTATACCACATTTGAGGTCGTGATGCTGGCAGTTTCCTCCACATTTTTCTCCACATTTTTCAGCCATGTCCACATTCTCGTGAAATTGCCAAAATAATTGTAACTGTATTACATTTTTTTCAGAAAATTTAAAGCTTTGATTGAGAAAATCATTGCAGTATTTTTTTGACTTTTAAATATTAAAGAAGCTTTTTCTGACCAGTTTCAGAACAACAAGGGAAAAGAATTGGTTACATATTTGTAATTATGAAGTTATTCCTAATTGCAAAAGCTTTAATAGTATTAAAAAAAGATCAAATCTTTTTAACTCGAGACTCCTTTCCATTATTGTTGTCACTTAATTATTATCCAATTCAACACTGTTAAAAAAAATTCATAAATACCTAAGACAATTTACCCATTCCTGTCGGTTTTAAATACTTTATTCCTGTACCACTGCGTTCAGCGCCACATAACGAAGTACGTGCCACGCGATGTGCCACGCGCGCCAATCGCGAAAAAGGAAAATTTTGGCACTATGTGTGCCAGGCACATATCATAGGCATGGCAAGAGAGGTGTCTCACAAAGATGCAGTAAAATTGTTGAACAAAATCATTGAACAAAGTCAAAGGTTTTTGTTATAGACTTTGGGAGCGAAAGGTAGTTATGAATGGAATAAATGTATGCTTGGTCTGTATAAAACAAAACGTTTAAAACCGGCTAGGAGCCTGGTCACAGATAATGGCCCGGCCGAGCTGAAGGTGATGGCCATTATCAGCGTCCTGGCCCCCAGGCCCGTTTTAAACACTTGTTTAAAACCGGCCAAGCACATATTTATTCCCTTATTCATAAATACCTAAGACAGTTTACCCATTCCTATTGGTCGAGAGCCCGTCACGTGGCCGGTCTTAAACGGTTGATAAAGACTGGCTCAGGGCTGGTCTTAAACACTTTTCCTGTGTCACATGAAATTTGGACTCCTAAAAATCGAGTGCCTCTTACCGTTTTATTGGTTGAAGTTCACAATCCACACGTAGGCATGCTCAACACTACCAGTGAGTCAGTATTTTATAGTCCTAAATTCACAACGCAACGCACCAGGTGCATTCTATGCGACATCGCGCAGTAATGCGCGACGCACGCACCAATCTTCATAAAAGGAGTTGTTTACATCTTACTCGCTAGCTGGACACTCATTATTTAGCTAGAGGGATGTTTAAAAAAACATGAAGTGAACTTGTTGAACAAAATCAGGGGTTTTTTTACCGAAAAGTTTAGATTTTTTTGACCGAAAAGGTATTTATGAATGGGAATAAATATGTGCTTGGTAGGCATTAATCACCCTGTTAAAGACCGCTTGGAGTCTGGGTGCTGATAATTATCAGTACCCAGACTCCGAACCCAGACACTTAAACAGAGTGATTAAAACCGACCAAGCACATATTTATTCCCTTATTAATTGCACAATTACAAGAATACCTACTAAAACTAATTTTAGAAATGTGGTCAACACATAAAAAAACACCAAAAATCGCAACTTTCCTGCTATGGGCTCTGTGCACAAGTACCCCCTCAACGGTAAGAAAAGGAAAGTTTGGGAAACCACTGGGAGAGACATTCAAACGCATTGTCGACGACGCCTGACGCTCAGGCGAAGACGCTAAGGCTTTGTGCACATTCAGAGTAAAATTATTTGCGCTTATTTCGCGCTTTACACGCGAGAACCAGTATGCGAATGCAGTGTGTCCTGTCCTCGGAGCTCTCAAAAGCGGTAAAAAAGCGCCCTCTCTTGTTTGCGCGCAGAGCCCATAGGTAACACAACTATCTCCATCCTTTTCCTTAAAAACACTTCTTTTTTTTACAGTAAATGTCTATCTACATCCACATCTAAAAAATTATGACATTATTTCAATAACATTTTCACATTTTTAAAATCTCAATATATCAATAAATTATGAGATGGTACTATTACATGCAAAGCAGTGAGTGAATGAATTATTTTAAAGGGGCACTAGGTCCCGAAATCCCCGAAAATGTTATGTTTTGGATTGTTTACTTAGCCTATTTCAAACATCTGGTTGAAAGAAAACCAACCTAATGTCTTACCGTTCCCGAGAAAAAGAAAAAAACCCCGCTTGTTTACATCGGACATGACGGAGTACGAATACATTTTTCGTGTCGTTCTCATGTACGCTAAACACGATGTGTGTCTCGGGAACAGCGCGTGGTGACCAATCACCAATGCAAAAAATTGTGGTTTCTTCAACGTCCGCAAAAGGCGAACACTTTACGCATACGAATGAAATCACAACTAGCATCCAAAGAGCTTGAATTTATGGGGTCGCAAAAGTGGACCCCGAAATTCGTTCTCGCACGCATAATACAGGAATAACACAAAAACGCCCACTTTTGAAAGGATAGTTGTATGGATGTTTATATCCTACTTTTAAAAGTTATTTCCGATTATCATCATCTCGTTCAAAGCGCGTTTAGTAGCCCAATTGGGCTGTTCTAGGACCTAGTGTCCCTTTAAATACTTTGGTCTGCACATTGTTGAACAATGTAATTTAAAGGGAATGTACATTATTGGCTTTTGCTGTCATTTTCAGAAATGAACTATTGGAGGGTTTAGTATAATAGATCAAATGTTGTTACACTGACATGTTTAAGGTTTTGTATTCGAAAATGCCGTTCATGAAAATGTAAACCAATAGCAAACCAAATTTGGACTGAAAAAAAAGAGGTAAATTCGGAGCAGAAGTTGAAAAATAGTTAGGTGTTTCCAACGGTGGTCGGCCGACCACTGTTGGAAATGTATACAAAAATACCATTTTCTTGAAAATGACTTCACACCAGATGCCATAATTTTACAGGATGCTTTAGACTGTCATTTACCAACATCCAAGTAAGGTATTTTTGAAAATCTGGTAGTTTTGTTTTTCGATATTTACCATACCATGACATATAGCTAGAGGGGTGTTTCGAAAAACAAAGTAAACTTGTTGAACACAATCGTCTGAAATTTATAGTTTTTGACTTGTCTTGACTGAAAAGGTATATGGTACTGTCCATTACCCAAACTGGTCTTAAACGGACCTGTTTAAAACCAGTCAAGCATGTATTTATTCCCTTATTAAAGTTTATGTTCTAATAAACTCAGGTTTCACATAAAAACATGAAAATTCAAAGGAAAAGATATGAATAAAATATGAAGCAAGTATATGAATTTATACACACTCCCTTCAATATATACATGTATGGCTTATTAGCAACAATGTTATAAAAATCAAGATCTTCTAGATAATGAGATAAGTTGTAGCACTATGTGTCAAAATCTCTTTTGTGAGTATGTGTGGTTTTGAAAAGAACCGGAGGGACTCAATGTTTTGGAAAGTATGCTCTGCCCGTCTGCCCATGCGTCAGGTGACTGCCCATCACCAAGCACTCTTCTGACGACTTTTCAAAGCCACACCTACGCAAAAAAGAGATTTTGCCACATGGTGCTAACGCAACAATTTACCTCATTACCCTTTCACCATGCAAACCTTCAAATCTCATCAGATTTACAAGATGCCAATACAGAAGTG